CGCTCTTCAATTCAATATTACTCACGTGCTTGCACATATAATTGTGGCATCCGTCTGTCATGCACCCATTTCCTTTTTTTTTTTTTGTTTTTTTTTTTGCTTTGTTCTTACTTGCAGCAACAAGAGATGAAGAGTTGTCAAGAAACTGCTGGTAACTTGGTGCTGCGTGACCAATTGAAGATGAGATTTGCACAGAGAACGCAGGTAAGTCCTAGACCCACGTGGGCAAGCGTTGTGCGTTACATAATATCCTCAAAGACATGATTCAGCCAACTGCTCGCTCAGTATTTGCTCTGCAGATGGCTTCGTGAGAAACAAAGCACTTTCTGAGCTAATTGAGAGAGATAGGATCATTGAGAAGTGAGAGATTGACTGTGGCAGAATGAGGTGGGCTTAAAGGTTCAGAAAGGGGGCAGGTGGTGATGGTGGTGGTTGTGGTGGAGGTGGTTTGCAGGCGAGAATAAAAACCATGACGATCATTGATTTTACCCCGACTGATATTGACAGATTTGACTTGTTCAAATTCTGTATTTACAAATATTACAGTTTTATTTCGTTTATGTTGTAAATGTAGGCAAGGCAAGTTTATTTTTACAGCACACTACACAAAACGAAGACATACATTAAAATCATAATTAATTACAGTATAAAGAGACGATACAATCCTCTAGTAAATGCTCAGCAATTCCGAACTGTTTTAACCTGGTTTTGAACATTGAATTGATTTTAGATTTATTTTAGCTGCATAAAACTGAAATGATGCCCATGTTTAGTTTTGACTCTGGGCACTAAGGCAAGGAAAGTTTATTTGTATAGCACAATTCATACACAAGGCTACTCAAAGTGCCAGCAGGAGGCCAGTCCCTGTGCTCCTCAGAGTCCCAGCAGGAGCCCAATCCCTGTGCTCCTCAGAGTCCCAGCAGGAGGCCAATCCCTGTGCTCCTCAGAGTCCCAGCAGGAGGCCAGTCCCTGTGCTCCTCAGAGTCCCAGCAGGAGGCCAGTCCCTGTGCTCCTCAGAGTCCCAGCAGGAGGCCAGTCCCTGTGCTCCTCAGAGTCCCAGCAGGAGGCCAGTCCCTGTGCTCCTCAGAGTCCAAGTGGGTTCAGATGGCACTAACATGTCACTAATGTACTGTGGTGCGAGGCCGTGGAGAGACTTGTAACAAGCAGAGCTGCTTTTAAGTCTTTTCTCTTCACCACACTGCAAATACCTGAGAACTTAGTTGCTGTTTGTAGAAACATATCCTAGAAATAATAATAACAACAAACATACAAATAAGGATACATTTTATTCATACTTGAGTTTTTTGAAGATGCAACAATAATAACACATGAACCAAAATCAGGAGAAGTAATGAAGTTCAAGAGTTGCCCAAAAAATATTCCTAAACTAACTGTAATGAAAATTCAATACACAAATCCTAACTTTCTGAAAACATAATAAATGATAGTTGCAGGCACATGAATATACACATGATATACATTATTATTTGTGTATGTTTGTGTTTTTGCTGCTAATTACAACTATGATTCTTATTGTATCTTGAGCTTCCCCTCAATAATTGTCATTTTGGTATTAGTTTTCCTTAGAATCTAAAATCATGTATTTAGTAATGCAGTACATTTGCTGAGCTGTCCTATCTGCTGCTGTAGAGGATGAGTTGCCTTGTCATTGTGAGGAGTGCTGACTCCTCCTAATCTCCTTAATCCACTGGTCACTTCCACTGGACCTTGTTACATATGGGCCACCAGCGCTAAACCTGCCTTTATTTTAAACCCAGTTTATTGTACATATTGTTTTATTTGTTTGGGACAGTGCATGTTAATTAACACACCCGTCCGGATTGTAGCCATGGGCTAATTTGCATCTGTTGTCGGACAGTCACAAACTCACACACATCTTGAACATGTTTTTAGTGGTAGGGGAAACTGGAGCACCCGGAAGAAATCTAAGCAGACACGGGGAGAACATGCAAACTCCACCCAGAAAGGCTGGGAGATGGAATTGAAACCAGGACCTTCTTGCTGTGAACCATTGCGACACGGTATAGACACAGAATACAAATTAAATGGGAATATACAGTGGCTTGAAAGTATTCAAAGCTAATGAATATATCCACAGTTGAATATTAATGTATATACATACATTAACATATCAAGCTCCATCATGTTAGATGGACAGTATTTTTAAAGTATTTAGATCTTGCCACAGTGTCTGAAAAGATCTCGACTTTTGCCCATTCTAACAGTTTTTAACCATTCCATTTTCACTGTTGAAAGTCAATAGTAGGAAAAAAAAACTCAACTCCAGATTGTCTTGCACTTTGTTATATTCACCTATCCATTAAATCTGACAGTCTTCTCTGCTCCTGCTGAAGAAAAGCAGCTCCACAGCATGAAGCTGCCACCATCAGGTGATGTAGGGGTGAGTAGAGCGAGGAACAGTTTCCCGCCACACACATTAGCCTTTAATATTAATTTAGTCTCAATCGGACCTCAGTATTTTCTTCCACATGTTGAAGGTGTCCCCCACTTCCGTGGCGTGTGGATTATTGTTTAACTCTGGCTTTCTATTTACCACTCACCCATAAAGTCCAAAAGTTGTGTAATGTAATAATTGACCCTTGAACAGATTGGGCTGTGGATGTCTGCAGCTCCTCCAGAGTAACCGTTGGCAACGCAAGGTGTGCATCTATTTGTCTATAAAAAGTGTTGGCCTTGTTCAAGCTCTGCCTAAAGTCGACGGCTGTGTCACCATCAGTCAGCAGTTGTTTTTACAGTATAATATATTATTTTTTTCATCCCTGTCCGCCCTGGTGGGGTCGTTCATTATGTTGATTTGTAAACAATGGGCTCCACATGTCACGGGGTGAGCTGAGTGAGGACTCAAACGCAGGAGTGCCATAATAAAGCTCTTAATAAAACAAAGTCCAAGGCAAAAAACAAACTCCAGAAATCCAAAGTAACCAGGACAGAACATGACAAAACAATGAAGCAGCAACAAGGGGAGAGAAGCAAAGGGTACATATATACAGCTGTAGTCAGACTGAGATTAGATTACACTCCAGTGGACTGTACTCAATAGTGAGGTAGACATTTGACCATTCATCAGGAGACTTCTGAAGACAATTGTTTTTGTTTGAGAAAAAAAAATATGTTTTTTTTGATCATTTTATTTTGTATAGGGCAATCTAATCACGCTTACTTGTTGTGGCTTTGGGTCCTATAATACAAACACATATTTTGACATTTAAATTGCAGCTGATTGCAAAGCATATTAATCAGTGCAAAGGATGATTTAAATAAGAACATTGTAAAATCTTTTACTTCCCGTCCCTTCCCAGTCACTTCAGGGGTTCCCCAGGGTTCTGTCCTCGGCCCCATCCTGTTCCTAATCTATCTTCTCCCTCTTGGTTACATCTTCAGAAAACACCACATTCACTTTCACTGCTACGCGGATGACACCCAGCTCTACATCTCCAGTAAACCAAATTCCACACTCCCACCGTCCTCTCTCACCAACTGCCTCCATGAAATAAAGTCCTGGTTCACTTCAAACTTTCTCAAACTCAACAGCAATAAAACTGAACTCCTCCTCATTGGCACCAAATCCACCCTAAATAAAATCAGCAATTTCTCCATTCCCATTGGCGGCTCCTCCATTTCCCCCTCCCCTCAGGTAAAGAGTCTGGGTGTCACCCTCGATAGCACCCTCTCCTTCACCGCACACATCAATAGCATCACCCGCATCGCCTACTTCCACCTCAGAAATATCCGCCGGCTCCGCCCTTCTCTTTCCCCTCACACCACTGCCATACTTGTACACAGCCTCGTCACCTCTCGTCTCGACTACTGTAATTCCCTACTGTTTGGTCTCCCTCAAAAAACTCTACATAAACTCCAACTGGTCCAAAATGCAGCCGCCCGCATCATCACACACACCCCCTCCATAAACCACATCACTCCTGTCCTTCAACAGCTCCACTGGCTCCCCATCACCCACCGCATCCAATACAAAATCCTGCTCCTCACATTCAAAGCAATCCACAAGCTCGCTCCTCCATACCTGACTGACCTCCTCCATGTCTCCACACCTGCCCGCTCTCTCCGCTCCTCCTCCTCTCTCCGGCTCACTGCTCCCCCTCCCGCCCATCTCGTCACCATGGGGAGTAGAGCCTTCAGTCGCTCTGCTCCCCAGCTCTGGAACACTCTCCCTCCTGACCTCCGTAACACCGACTCACTCCCACACTTCAAATCCATCCTCAAAACTCATCTGTTTAGACAAGCCTACTCACTGTGACCACAACTGTATGTTTTATTCATGCTGTTTTAACATTGTATTTTAACTGTTTTTAATTGTTGATGTTAATTTACTTGTTGTTGTGAGGCGACCTTGAGTGTCTTGAAAGGCGCCTAAGAAATAAAATGCATTATTATTATTATTATTATTTTAAATTAATTATTTCTTTCAATCTGTCACAACACAGATATCAGAAATAATACTTCACTGCACAGTTTAGTTTAATATTTATGTTTTTACTTACAGAGGGTGTTACAGAGGACTATTGTTCATGTTTTAGTGGTAGGGGAAACTGGAGCACCCGGAGGTAATCTATGGGGAGAAAATGCCAACTGCACACAGAAAGGGCCTGTCTGGTGGTGGAATCGACTCAGGACTTTTTGCTATAAAGCACAAGTGTTAACCGCCACCATGCAACACAAAGATTTAGTTTTTTTGATTAGAGATACAAATTACTAATAAGAAGGCAGTTGTGTGTGTCTGTAGATGCACAGTATGTTGTTCTTATGTCTGTCCAGCAGATGGAGCTGTTTTATTTCTAATGCATCACAACAACATTCCTGTAAAATACTCTCAGTCACTTCTAGACATTTTTTGTGGATACATATTGAAATAAACGCATCATTTGTTTTAATTAGAAAATACAACACTATTTTTTCCCCAAATTTACCTTGGTCTCTCTCTCTCTCTCTCTCTCTCTCTCTCACATGCGTTTGTGGATATGTATGACCCCATTACACGCCGGACAAGTATGTTCCACATCTTTGCAGGCGTCCACACAGAATGGGATAAAGCAGCAGGGCCAGATGCTGTATGGGAAAATTGCAATGTTAAACTAATGACAGAGGATATTATTTATTTTGTTTAGTCTCTTTTTTGTCTAGTACTATAAAGGCTTCTTTGTTTATTTTGTTTATTTTACAATGAAAATTAAATACATTGTTCACTAAAATATAAATATTTACTTACAGAAATATTAGTAGTATTCCACAGATGAGCCAGGCGAGAAGTCCGATCTTGAATGTGACTACAGTTACAACTGTGTTTTGGCAGACTGGACACTGCATCTGTCTAGGGGAGTCTGTGGGCTTTGGCTGCACTATGACTGGATTGGCTGAACAAGACAAAAAAATCATGAACAATCTTCATCATGTTGCAGTGGACAAGTTGTGAGTCGCTTTCACTTTGGAACATTTCTGGAGATACTCACGAATGTGACCTTGAGGTTGAGACTGGGGTTCGATCTGATAAAAAACTTGTGGAAATACGAAAAATGAGACAACGCTGTGATAATCTTGTTCATCTAGAAAAAAACAAAACAATAGTATGATGCTCTCTTACCGTGTTGTACTTCCGGTGGAGCGTACATCGGTATCTGCGGAGGCATCTGCTGATACATCTGCTGAGGCATCGGCTGAGGCATCGGCTCAACCATCGGCTGAGGCATCGGCTGAGGCATCTGCTGAGGCATCAGCTGAGGCATCTGCTGAGGCATCGGCTCAACCATCGGCTGAGGCATCGGCTGAGGCATCTGCTGAGGCATCGGCTGAGGCATGGCCATAGGCTGCAAGCCGATTTCCATTTTGTATCTGAAAAGAACAGCAAATTTGAATAATGATAAACGTTGAACCTGAAATCAAACTCAACCTCTATCACTTTTATATATTTATATTCAAAATCATTCTGCAGCAACAATAAAACAATAGTTTAATGTTTAATGATACATTTGTGTAATAAGAAAACACAAATAGAAATAGGTTAAGAGGGTTGGACCTTTCAATAAATCTCATTGCCCCTAGGTTGTCAGGCTCCACAAAACCCCACCTTTTAAAGCACCACCACTTTTACATGACACAACTAAATGCCCAACATTGTTCCCTGCTATATCTTTCTTTTTTATAGTATACAGCAGCCATTCCCAAACTCAGTAACACCGAGGCCCCCTTAAAAATCTGACGGGTCTGCGTGGCCCCCCAAAATAATAACCAAGAAGACAACATTTTATTTTGGGGAAATAGCCTCTGCTACAAACATTGTAATACAAAAATGATTACAGTGGATTATTCAAGTCAAATAATGAACACAAATATTTGAATATTACAAACAAAACATTATAAATTTAACATTAAATAATTATATTATTTTTTTTATGACCTCCCGCGGCCCCCCTGCAGTACCCTCGCGGCCCACCAGGGGGCCGCGGACCCCACTTTGGGAGACACTGGTATACAGTGTGCTCTTCAACGCCCACAATGTATATTTTCATTGTCATTCTTGTCTCTTGTCAATGAAACAAGAAAAGGGAACAGAACAGGTTGTCCGTAAACAATGTGTTTAAAGGCTCTGTCGCTACGGGAAACTCGTCACCACAAAAGTTGCTCCTCCAGTTTAGGAGCATTTTTCACATCATCTAAAGGAATGTGATCTATTATTTATGAAATATTAATTCAGAATTGACGGTTGACACCTTTCTATGGACTATGCAGTTATTCAATATCTTAAGTAAAATTCAGAATAATAATAATTCAAATACAGTTTTATATGTCTGATTTGATCACACATCAACTCCTGGTATTCCTGGTATGCAGTCACTGAGATATTTAGCACAAAATGAAATCAGGGTTCAAACATTTGGTCTTGTTGATTGGAGAATCCCCACCACATTTTAGTATGTCACTATAATTTGTTCACTGCTGTAAATTCGCATAATTAATTATCTTAACTTGTGATGCTGCTTTACCATTCCAGTTACTGCTTGCTCCCTCATTCCTGCATAATCTTATATCTTAAGGTGATCATGCTAATTCTCTTAAGGAATACAAACAACATAGTATTTTCTCATTATATGTATTCAAAAAAATCAGCAGCAACAACAATATATCACAATATACAAATATAATATATACACAATTTATCCTGCATCTGTACAGTCTAAATTAAGTGGTCTGTTACTGTTTCTCTTTCTATAATAACAACCAAAGAATTATAATCAAAGAGCTAAATGAAAAGAAAAGTGACCTACCTGAGTGAAGAGTAGAGTGGAGGCCGCTTCTTTGCTTCTCACTGAAATCGAAAGGAAGAGACAGCTCAATGCTGTTTAAGGTGGGGCATTATTAACACACAAGTTATTGCTGTTGACACAAGAAAGCAGTTACAGATGTATGTGTTTAAAACAACAGCATTTAGGGATCTAAAATGTAAGAAAAAAATTCTCAATCTCTATTAGATTACACTGTTCACTATCAATACATTAAAACTGATCTAGATTCTAGGGACCTGTTCGCATTTTTTCTGCTGCTTCAAGAAAATGTAAAAATTTCCGTCAGAAAGTCCACCTTAACTTGTGAAGGATCTGCACTGGTGTCAGACACATCATTTTTTTCATTTATACAATAGTTCAGATCTGACTAAATCATTTTACCCCTTTTTATATAAGATGGGCCCTACATTTTGACCTATGTGTGATTTTGTTCATACCTTGTCAAAAAAGACAACACCAACAAGAATGAATTTGTAGGACGTTTAAAAACAAAGGTTATTAACATTACCCCACAATTTTCCCTCAGTATTGGGACGTTCTCTACGGTTTTTGAACAGGCAACTACACTAAGGAGAAGCTTGTGCATGCTGTTGCTGTGACTTTTCCCAGTAAGTAAATATTGCTCGATTATTGTTCGTTTGTTTAAAGATTGGCTTTGTCACTGCAGGGCCTCCTTTGAATTGAGCACTCTCTGTTCAAGTAAGCCTCACTTTTGATATTTTGAACATGTACAGTGTTGAAAATGTTAGCTATCTTGAAAGCAGGGCGGCACGGTGGCTGAGTGGGTAGCACCTTCGCTTCTCTGCAACTGAGTTCACTTGGAAACATCAAGTTTAGAATGCACTCATGGAATTCAAGTGAAGTTAATGTGCAATTTATTTCCAAAGTTTTTTCAAGTATACTTTAATTGCCAGGGTTTTGTAGTGTAATGCCCTGCCGCCTGTTCTTCCCAAAAGGAACATTTCAGGCTCTCTATTATTTCAAATATCACAGGATTGTTTTTAACCAAACTGTAAAGCTCTTCAAATGACATGAAAAGCGTTTTATGAATAAAATGTGATGGATTTAAAAGGTCTTAGAGAATAAATGTAATGATTATGAATGCTCACGAGTTTGTGTTGGTGTAAGCTCCACAATTCTAGTCCCTTAAATGTATCCATCCAATTTTCTTTCCTTTTGTCCATTTCTTGGACTTAAAAAAGTTTAGCTGCAGAAATGAGAAAGCCCTTTTCCCTCAGATAATTCTCCCTGCCATAAAATATGTTTCATGTTATATGCGTTTTGGTCTCATGAAATATATACTAATGAATGCTGGGAGGCTACACACATACAGTTCATACATTTTATATTCCAACAAAATGATGTGAGACATGATTAGAAGAGCACACAATACTTTTATATTCCTTTAATTACAGTAGATCATTCATAAATGTATTTACATAAAGTTTATACAATAAAGCCTTGCAATAGCAAAGTAAATCTCGGCTTGATGACGTCTCGCAAATGCTTCATTGCACTCACTATTCAATCACTGGATGAATAGTGAATCTGACCCATCATCACTCACCACATTCATACTGCATTTCCACGTTATACACTTCTGGAAAAATCATGAAATGTTTAACGCGGCTTACGGTATACAACAATTAAAACAGTGTTTGTTTAAAAGTACCATTTAACACTGTCAACTGTACAGTGACATACCCACTTAGCCACCTAATGTTTAATTCTAATCAGCAGGGCTTTAGGCACTCATGAAAAAAAATTATGGTTTCAGAGTTAAAAATGTATTACAGTTTCAAACAACATACAGTTGAGTAGAAGGGCCTCAGTGTGTTGCACATCACAGGAAACTAAAATATGAAGGTGCTTTTAGTGCTACAAGCGTTTGTGGACGTGAATGGTGGTGTGACACCGTGGGCAGGTGTGCTTCACGTCTTTACAGGAAGGAACACAGAATGGGATCCAGCAGAATGGCAGGAAACTGTACACACACAAGAGCATTACTCATAATATCTTTACAACAGTTGTCATAATGGGATTGACCAGGGAGGAAGCACCATCCGAGGAGCCATCTGTACAAGGAACAAAGAGCCGTCCAGAGTCAGGAGACGGCCACTGGACCAGGAGAGAGGAAGTCGAGGCTCCATCCTCCACTAAGTCCAAGAACCAGGCTCCCACTGCCGCTCCCTGTGCAGAGGGCTCCATCAGAGGGAACACCACAAAAAACTACAAGTTAAAATACAAATGAAGGAATTAATCTGCCCCACTTCTGACCCCCATCATTCACTCACTCACCAGATTCTTACTGCTATGTTTTGGATAATGGGATGAAGCCCACAGAAACCACCCAGACAGAGGGAGGATGCTCAGGACAGCATTTGCTGTCACCAAATGTTTCTGATAAGATGAAGATAGAGTAGTGTGTTTTTATAGTAATATTAGAAGAAAAAGTAAGGCACCCGGTCCTGAAATAAGTAGGCAAACTATGTACAAAAAACAGTGAGTATCCTGTCATATTCTTTTACAATTTTGAATCTGTCTCAAAAAACATTGGGTTTTTTGTTCAAGTTCAGCGACTTATATTTAAGTCTTCCAACATTCTGTGATAGCTCCTGATTATGTTTAGTGATTGATTTAGTTAAGATAAAGTAACTGCGTTTCATATAATGATTCATTTGTGTTAAAATCACCCATGGATGGAAAGAGCAAATTAGCCTTGGTTATAAATGCTGTAGTGTTTCACATGTTTTTGTGTACTAATTGATTACTTAATTCGATAAATCCACTTGTAAAGCACATTTTTGAAACCATTTCCAAAGTGCTGCACATGCATATAACACATATTTTCCCTTTATTTCTTTATAATAGACAAAAACATATTGTGCTAAACACCCCCTGCACAAAAACGTGCAGGGGGTGAGTAAATGAGTAAATCATTTTCAGTAATGCAATCAAAAAATAAAAGAGTAAATGAAATAATAGAGTTAATAATAGAGAAAATAAAATAGATAATTTTGACATAGCTGTTACTCACCAGGTAAGAAAGATGATTCCACCAATGAGCCAGGAGAGGGTCCCGACCTTGTACTCTGTCATTGTGACCACATTGATTCGACACTGAGGACACATCATCTCTCCTGGACTATCTGTGGGAAGGCTCTGCGACACCACCACCACTGAAGGAACAAGGATCACATCAGATATCATGGCCAAAATTTACTCACAATCAACCTAAAAAGTTTTGAAATTGTGCTCACTGGTCTGCGGCTGTGGCTCAATGGCAGTGTCATAAATAGGTTGAGCTAAAAATAACAAGAGAAGATAAGATTAGATCAACTTTTTTGATCTCAATGGATATAGTACATATCATGTTAGGCATAGATAGAATCACATAAAGGTGCTTTAAATTGTGAGGTATATTTAAATGATAAATCTAATGCAATCTCCAATAAGGTGATAGGTCTGCACCTTTATGAGAAACCTTAAGTAAAGTAATTATTATGCACAAATGTATTAACTTAAATATGAAGTGATGTCATACCTGGTTGGTGTAAGTTGTTCCTGGCTGCTCCTGGTGGTCCTGGGTATGGTGAAGAGAGTTGTGCCTTTTCATTTTTGTCCATTGTATTTTCCTATCTTATTATCAGTAGAGAAACCAGTAAGTCGGCAGAACGGAAAGAGAGAGCTCTACTGAACGAGAGCCAGGACAGTTCCCGCACACACGAGAAAATGTTGCTGTTCCAGTTGATTTGCATTGTATATAACATCATTCCATCTCATAAGAAACTGCTTGGGAAATACACCGTTCTTATTCATTTGGTCTAAAATATTGTTTGCTCTGTTGCAAAGCATTTTGACTGGCCTCATGGGGTATATTAGCAGTGTTAAATTGTAGGCAGTTTCTAATTATGTTAAAACTCTGTTGTTGATTTCACATTCTGTTACCTTGACTTTCAAAATGAAAATACTGTAAAACATAATCAATCAATAACAATTAGGCCCAATCATTTGAATTCACTTTATTGTTCAATGCACTGATCACCACTTACTGGGTGTGGATCCTCAGTCGGACGTGATCTAGTCTAGAGGACCAACACAGACAGAGTTTTGCTCCAGCCTCTAGATAGTGTGAAAACTCCCTGGCGCAGTTTTTGTCTTAGTAGAATAATCACCGATGACAGATTGTACCATGAATAATAGGGCGTGTTCCATAATTGGCCGGTGCCTTGAAATGTGCTCTTGTAACTTTTGGACTTTGCGGAAATAAACATTGATTATTGAAATAAATGCCTCTGTCCATGAGGGCTTTATTTACCTCCACCAGGGGATAATTTAATCATCAGGCTTTGTTGGTTAATTAGTTTGTCAGTCAGCAACATAACTCATACAGTTATTCTCTACGTTAGTAAGTACAGCCCCAGAGGCTTATTCCCTTATCTTATTACTTATTGTTTATTATTAAATACATTATTTATTATCTTAAATAATAGATCCGGTTTGACATGCAATCTGAGTGGTCTTATTTCCTATTTTAATTCTGCTGTAATGTGTGCAACGATGATTCCCCCACTGTGGACAAATAAAGGTCTATCTTATCGTATCGTATCTAGGAGTGGATGTGTCCTTTTTTAAATAGTGTCGATCCTGATCTTTCACCTCTAGACTGATTAATAGAATGGAACTAGTGTTTTGATGACAGATACTAGTCCTCAAAGGTTAGATTTAGCAGGGACCTCTAAGGCTATATCCCTTGACAGATTGAAGCAAGGCCTCTGTTGCTTTTGTTATTTCTGTAGCTCTGAGACTGCCAAAGGTTCCTTGGTATGCTAGAACGTATGTCTTCATTCAGTATTTGGGTTAGAACAAGACCCATATTGTGCAGACCAGAAGCCTAACCAAGTGGATTCATCCATGTTTTTTTCTTCTTATTCACTCAGTCTATTTTCTACATAAATGAGTCTGATGTCTTGTGAAATGTTGGTTTAGCCCATATAAAATACCAAGTTTCTGTTAAATTCCTTTGTCTTTTCTGTCTTCTGCCTTGAGGCTCTTTATAAGAGCAGACTCTTAAACCGACCCCTTAGGATTGTAAACTGGGAGAAGATTCCAGTCCTTGCAGTGCAGGACCACCTGCCACGTGAATAGCTTCTTCCCTCAGGCGGGTTATAAGACTGAACAGAGCGCCCTGATATCTGCTTCTCTTTTGTAGCTCCTTCGTTGATTCTTAATCATGTTTTAAAAAGATTTATATGTGCCTCACTGTATCTTGCCTCCCTATTTCTGTGCATTTTGTTTGTGTGCGCTGGTGTGTGCTTTGTGGTGTTGATGCCCCCATGTCTCCTGTTTGTTTTCCAATGTAGTGTATTCTGCAAATACTGTAGATCTGGCAATAAATTGAAGGGCCACAACCTTAATTCATTCAAACATGAATACATCACAGAGTAAACACAATACTTTACACTCACACATTGTATATTTAAATAACACACCTGTATTGCAAATTCATGTATTTACATCACACTGTAAAGTCTATGTAAATATGTTAATGTTTTAATAATTATGTGCAATTACATTAGACCTGATTCATTTAAACAATTTTTAAATTACTCTGTTCTCATATAGTCAAGCTATACAGGGGCCTGCAGGGCCAGTACAGATACTGAAGATTAAAGAAGCAGGAAGTCTGCTCTGGAGAGCAGCTTCAGTGACAGATCAATCTACCCTTGATGTGTAAAGGAGAGATTTTGCCCATTTTTCCTTCCTGCTGCTTTTACATGTGCCATTAATCTGTTTCGATAATTCACTAGTCACTTTATCTGCTGTCTATTCTGGTCATATTCTCTGCTGCTAAATTATGATATCATCCTTCTGTAAATGTATAACTTACTGACTGCTTCCAACCACAGTGTATGCTCCACATGCGTACTTATCTTAAGTAAAGTGCATTTACAGTTGATTCTCTTGACCTGAGTGCTCATTCTCTTTCTATTCTTCCGTGATGTTCGTAATGATGACACTGACATTTCCCCAATGAAAGACAAATAAAGGTTATCATATCTCATCTTTTATTTTCTTATCTTATAATGCAAACTTCAACACTTAAGTTTGTTTAAATGCCTGAAAACAAAAATACAGTAAGTAGGACTGTTGTGCATTAGACTTATACATGTTTGTGTTTATTGAGTTGTGTTATTGTTACGATGACCTGTAGACTGGACCAAACTCATAAAAAAAATTGATAGGACATATACAGATATAATATATAATGTATATATAATTGGCCCAACTGATAATTGGACGACCCTGATAAAAAGTAATTTTTCAAAATCAAACATTATTTCAGTTTTCAAACATAAAAAATGTTCAATGGGGGTCCTCACATTGTTGCACATAACACACTGCAACCAACCACATGAAGGTGCTGATGTGCTACATGCGTTTGTGGAGATGAAGTACGCTGTTACACGATGGGCAGGAGTGCTCCACGTCCTTACAAGCATCAATGCAGAATGGGATCCAGCAGCAAGGCCAAAAGCTGTAACAGAAATATAAAAGTCATTATCATGATAATGACATCAATCAGGGACTGTCAATCAAAGCACTTGATATTTTCTTCTTGAATGTTGCCACCAGATTATATACAACACCTTGAACATTTATTCACTGATACACTTTCCAATTGCAAAACCAGACAATGTCACCCAGGTAGAAGACAAGAGTAGGCAGCTAAAGACAGGGGGAAGGAAAACACCTAGAATCAATTTGGACACAGCAGTGGCTCGAGAACAGAGACAGGCTTCAGAGCCCAGATCGAAACGGAATAAATCTGTGAACGCAGCGATTTCTCAAAGTCATCTCATCTCAAACAAATTTATTAAATACTAAGAAATGAAATGGATTTTGTGTCTATTGTATTTATTATATAGCGCTTTTTTGGATACTCAAATAAGGACGGCACGGTGGCTGAGTGGATAGCACTCTCGGTTGGAAACCCGATTGGAACAGGGCCTTTCTGAGTGGAGTTTGCATGTTCTCCCCGTATCTGCGTAGGTTTTCTCACAAGAAATTAGCTATGGCTACAATCCGGAGTGATGGTTCATTTACATGTACTGTCCCAACCAAAAAAACAATAAATAATAAATAAACATGTCATTAGTAGCCACAGCTGCCCTGGGGCACACTGACAGAAGTGAGGCAACAAGTATGTGCCATCACCCCCTCCTAGCACCACCAACTATTCACACACACACACCAGACTCGTCCTATACAATGTGGGTGAAGTGTCTTGCCAAAGGACACAACAAGAGTTTACACTTTACAGCTGTAGCCGCCTGACAGTGGAACCTTGTGTTCCCAGAGGTCTCCCATCATAGCACTAACCAGGCCCTGACCCACATAGCTTTGCAAAATTATGTCCTTAAAATACAAAACACATACCACAAATGTATTTGTTCTTGTACAATGATAAACTTACAACAGTCCAATTGCTCCACAGATGAGCCAGGTGAGCAGGCCATTTTTGTAATTCGTCATTGTGACCACATCCTTTTGACAGAAAGGACACTTCATCTGCCCTGGGCTCTCTGAGGGTTGAGCGTGCACCACCACCACTGTAGAAACAAAGAGCATGTGAGAAAACAAGACCGTCATTTACATGTTAAATGCATGTAGTGAAAACTAGTTCTCACCGCTCTGCACAACCTGTTGCTGAGTGGAATACTGGTAAGAAACAGGTTGGGCTGGAGGCTGGTAATACATCGGTGGGCCTGAAAAAATAAGGTTTGAAGGTACAATGTTGAATAAATCTGTCACAATTAGAAAAAATGTCTCCGCTGTGGGCGGAATAAAGGATCTCTTAAAATGACAAAATAATGATACATAAGTGAAATGTCTGGATTTCATGAAACTTGAAATAACCTGGTAATCAGATGTTAAATTATGTTATTTGTTTAATATTTACTTTCAGCGGTATGTCTTCAGGGAACTGTTTTTGATATCCTTCCCAATTTTCACAAAAGATGTTGTAAGAGTTGCCCATAATTTGTCTATGGGATTGAGAGGCTTTGCAATCAATCACTTGTACGTGTCCGTGTTTGCCGTTTATCTGTCTGTATTATGTATTATCAACATGTACTGTATGTTGTTGCACTATGTATATTTGGACATTTGATGTATTTTATTGAACGTTTGTATATATCTTGACTCTAGTCCTTGTTGGTAATATGGTAGTGTATATTGTTGTGTGTTCATCTGTTTGTATGGGCTCCTCTCAAACAGCCCCTGGTGGGATAAATGAAGTATTTATATGAATCGTCCTTTTTAACTGTCACGGATTTATAGTAAGTAAGTAAGTAATCTTTTATTTATATACCGCCTTTTCACTGCAGATCTCAGTCTCAAAGCGGTTTACAATTGTTAATTTTTGGGCATTTGTCTCTCACTCCACACAGAGATGGGAGCGGGGTCGCCAGTACAGGAAGAGCATGCTAGAACTATTGGACATATTTTTAGTGGTAGGGGAAACCGGAGTACCCGGAGGAAACCTACGCAGACACGGGGAGAACATGCAAACTCCACTCAGAAAGGCCCTGGTCCGACCGGGATTCGAACCCAGGACCTTCTTGCTGAGAGGCGAGAGTGCTATCCACTCAGCCGCCCAAAGATATTATCATTATTATTATTATTATTATTATTATTATCATTAACAGCAGACAGTGTTTCACCATGTTTTGATGAGGGTTAATAACAATAACATTGTTAAAATCCGTGAAACAAAGATGTCCTCAATAAATGATCCAGACGGTGATCCGGATCACCTCCAAAATGTACAGTAATCGCTATTTCAGACAAACCCTGGTGATTGCAACACACGCAGGCCAGGGCAATAAAATGTTTCATCAACCTTGTTGTTGTACAGCAAACCCAGGTCCTGGTCCAGAGTATGGTGGAGGGTCCAGGGTACTCTTATCCATTTTATTTTCCTAGAACAGAACAAAGACAGGTACAGTAGGGAATTAACATAGCAGTACATAATAGTTTTACTTTTTCTAAAAACTTTTTCTCTCACTGTCTGAAGTAAAATATTATAACACAACAATCTATTGGCATAACAGACACAATATCTAATAATAAGTCAGAATTGGCTATATAATTGGTACACTTTTAGCTGTATATATTTGCTCAAACATTATTGGTCCCAGAGTCTAAAACACCACAGGCCAAAGACTTCTTCCACCTCAAGAAGGCACTGGAGGCTGAATTTTGAACAATAAGAAGAAGGACAAGATCATCAGAAAGTTTGAGCTCCTGCCGCCACGATGGTAAAGAGCCGATAGTCATTTGTTTAAAAGTGAAAATATTGGTGTCAAAATGTTGAATAATAAGAAGCTGGACACGGTCATCAAGAAGTCCAGCTCAGTCCTGGGCTGTCTTCTGGACACAGTGCAGCAGGTGGGGGACAGGAGGGTCCTGGTCAAACTATATCTATGCTTAACCATGGAGAGCAGTTTCAGAATTTAGTTTCAGTGTATAAACCCTCGCTATGTGAAGGAGAGGTTCTGCCGGACATTCCTTCCTGCTGCTGTCAGACTGTACAAGGAAAGCTGCTGAGCCTGTACATGTGCAACTCATCTCCTGATAAGTCACAAGTCACATTACTCGTACTGACAAGTCACTAGTAACCCTAACATTAAGAAAATCACACAGAATATTAAAATCAAACAATACAATCATACAAGGGGTGAAAATCATAAATAACCACAGCGGATTTTCAGAAAGACGGTTCCAGATTCTAGCTGCATAAATCTAAACCGCTGCCTCGTTCTGACTCAGGGCACCAGCAGGAGGCCAGTCCCTGCGCTCCTCAGAGTCTGAGTTGGTTCATATGGCACTAACATGTCACAGTTGTACTTTGCTGTGAGAGTCTTTTAAACAAGCAGAGCTGCTTCAAAGCCATGGCATCATTTGGCCGTTTCCACAATGTAAATTAAATAATAAAAAATCTTTGTTGAGTTAATTTGTTTAAATTTGTACAAAAGGTTAAATATAGAGTAACCAAACCAAACTCAAATAAATAATAATAATAACATCTTAATTGTCTGACTAGAAGAATACAAGACAAGTTATGAGAGTTACAAATGTAATAAATGCATTCTTTTTCATACATTTTCTTTCCTACTCTCAAGTCTCTCAATGGCCTCGCTCCAAAATATATTAGTGACATGTTAGTCCCATATGAACCAGCCCGGACTCTGAGGAGCACAGGGACTGGACTCCTGTTAGTGTCCAGAGTCAGAACTAAACATGGGGAGGCTGCTTTTCAGATTCATGCTGCTAAAATCTGGAACAGTCTTCCTGAAAGTGTGAGACAGGCCTCCTCTCTGACAATGTTTAAAACCAGGTTAAAGACAGTTCTGTTTAACTGTGCATACAACTGAGGGATTTTATATTTTTATCTTCCTTTTTAATGTTCTGTGATTATTTATGATTTTAATGCTTTCTTATTTTGTTCAGCACTTTATAAAGTGCCTACTCTCAATGTGCAAAATGTCAGTAAGAGCTACACACACACACGCACGCACGCACTCTCTCTCTCATATACACACACACACACACACACACACACACACACACACACACACACACACACACACACACACACACACACACACACACACACACACACACACACACACACACACACACACACACACACCACACACACACACACACACACACACACACACACACACACACACACACACACACACACACACACACACACACACACACACACACATACACACACACTGGAAATGTTTGTTTTTCCAGTTCATTAGCATTCTGTTCCACATTTTTTCATTTCATTTTCACAAAATCAATTATCCATCATTTTACCAAGTTAGTGCATTTGACCAACAATGACTACTTCAATTCAAAACAATCTACATTAATGACCACAGAAACGAAGGGTCAGGGACAGGGACAGGGTTTCTGAGTGTGAGAGATATAAACATAATACGTTTGTAATGTAATTCACTCGTGATATAAAACAAATGTAAAGTGTCATGATCGCTGTACACGAGATAAAGTACAGCCATATTTAATTTTCACACATTAATTTGCAAAGATTACATTTGATTTAAAATTATTATAAAAAGACAACAAGATTGGAGTTTGACTTACTGAATTGGTTGAATGCTTCTTATTTCTAGTCCCGTCTGAATGCTAGTTTCTGTTGATACTCAAACAATGACCCAGCAGGTTGAAGAGAGGCGTGGCCAGAAATACATCGGTAAAAGTCAACAATGAGTGAAGCACAAGTTGGAATCAACATTTACAGAAAGTTAAAATAGACCGAAAGGTTAATTTTTACATTATTACAACTCATATTTCAGATGTGCAATAAAGTACCTATTTAATTTCCCCTCAGCTCATAACAAAGTAAAAGGAAACCAGTGTTTTCTTTTTTGTTTGTGTACCTTGAAGTAGGTATGGTAAGTCATCAACCACAGCGGGGCAGCACTGAGTATACAATTTCACATGAGCTGCTTAAACTTTATCTTCCCTATCCTCCTTTGTCCTTCCTTCTCTGTTTAATTGACATTGGGGGCATTACAAGCCTTGAAAAAGGCACTTGACTGAGCCTGTCTCACAAAAGGTCCCCTCTAAAAGACAAAAAGGGGGTCATCAAAATATGGACAATTGACCAAACATTTCCGTTGTTTTATATGTGCTACAATATCTCCAGTATTATGATGTTTGCTGGACGTGGGTCTGTGTATTGTTGTATGTACTTTATTTGAACAGGGACAGTGTGCAGTTAAGCATTAACACAAAAGGAGAGATGCATTTACCAGGTTATAGCAAAGATGCTAATTTCCACCTGTAGTGTGTTGTGTTTTCATGCAGATTCTAAACATTTCTGTCTCATGTGGTGATGTGTGCACACTGCAGCACATATTGGTGCCTCTATTTGTATGTTTAATGTCTATTTTTGTCATCTGTATCATGTTTTATTATTTTTTTATTTAACTCAGATTTCAACAACAATTTTTTCTTTATACTTTATGTGTAATTTTGTCAATGTGACATGGTATTATACAAAAGCTCAACCAAAGCAAATTTCTTTCGATGAAGGAAATTTACTTCTTGGTTGATGCTGATGCAGAGAGTGTAGTGTTGCCACAACACTGGTTGAAGCACCGGTTTAATGTAGACTATCCTAATTGCTGCATTATGCAACTTTTCATGTGAATGTTTTTTATATGTTAACCTTGTAGTGACCCAGTGAATAAGAGTGGGAAACATGAAGCCCTGACTTTTGATCTTTGTTGTGTCTGCAGTGCTCCAAGAATATTTTTTTTCTAGGTTTTCTTGTGTGGGCGACCACTGTGATGGAAAGTAAAATACCACTCACACACCCACTGGGTCACTACAAGGTCAAGTACGCAACATGAAGAGTTTCAGTTTGCCCCTTACTGTATGGGGCTTGTGCAGTCTATGGCTTATGCATGCTTAACCCTTTATCGTTCACTCTTGGAAGAAATTATAATGCACGTTTTTCTCTTTTTTTGATTTTCAAGGATAAATATTTATTTTTGTTCTTTTCTTAACCCCTAGTTTAGTCATTATTGACCTTGACCAAATGGTTGAGATGCAGATTGTTGTTAAAGTGCCTAAAACTAAGTGATAGAGATGTCCCAATGAGGTTGCTTTCAGTTCCCAGCTTCAAAAGTGATCCACCAAATGGTTGAGGAAACCATTAAAGGCCTTTTTAAAGCTAACCTTTAGCAGTTTTATGCAGTTTTCTCACTACTTTGTCAACACTATAGGAATGTTTCAACCCTTTATGTGTCTGGAAACTACAGTGTTGATCTGTGACGTTTTAAGTAAGTAAATTTGAGACGGATCCTTATGTACTAGTGTACTAACATGATGTTCCCTACACCTCAGTTCTCATGTCATGGCCTCCTCGTAATCTCTATGACTCGGGGAGACTTATCTCCTTTGAACTCCATTGGTGTCAGTCTGTGTAGCTTGTAAAAGTACTTTCAAAATGTAGCTGCATTATTAAAAACAAAACATTACATTGATACTGTTATTTTACATTATGGTGTAGCTTAGTGCTTGCCCTTCATAAATTCTTACATTCACTTCTATTGTGGCTTCTAGTCACAGTTTACAGAAAAAATCCTTATCCTCGCTGACAAGACATTGTAATTCTTTCTCACAATGTTGCTTCGTTTTTAATGCATTTTTTCTGTTTGGTTGTTGAAAACCTGGTTCAATAATTCTTAAATGGCACTGGCAAAACCAATGACTCATGGACTTATCATGGTTAATCAAGCCAGGCTGTTGTTGACGAAGCACAACTTCCTTCTTCCACTGTGTACTTTACATGCAGAATACAGTCTTAGTCATATCACATGTAAACATCTTTTTGAAGTAACTATAATTAAATGTATACATTCAATAATACATAAATTCTTTCAACCAACCTTTATTATCTAAAGGCAACCTGTATGTCTTTCACACACACATAAACACCAGACTCATTCTTGGCAATGTGGTTGAAGTGTCTTGCCTCAGGACACAATAACAGTTTGGCACTTTACACTCTGGTGTTCCCCTTTTTCTAGTCTTATTTTAATTTAAAGAAGAAAGACAAGACCTCCATCATGAGAATATTTCAGAGGCTTCAGAACAACACTGCAGTGAATCTAATGGCTCTTTGCTTCAGATCCAGTGGCTGCTTCAGCTGCTGTCACTCAAACTGATGTCCCTGTTCTCCAGAGACAGGAGCAGGTGTCTGCACGAGCTCTTGCAGATATGGATGTGGCTGGAAATATGGAAATACGCCTCTGAGAAAAGGTCACAGAGAGAGGGTCCGGTCTGGAGTGCTCTGCTGGTTATTGTGTGGGCGTGTGCGTGTGTATGTGCGCGTTTTTTTGTGCGTGTGTGCAAATCTGTTTGTACATGTGCGTGTCTGTGTCTACTTTTTGTGTGGGTGTAAGCGTGCGTGTGTATTTGTATGCTCTTTAAGCTGAAACTTGAATGCACTTGGTTGGTTTCATAATTAGATTAATTATGCTCAATAAAAGTGAATTCATCCCTTTATTGTTACGTTTGTTTGACTGATTATCCGCTGATTTGCATTTTCAATGTTTACAACGATAAAACACATATTAATGCAAACGCAGAATGCGGCATTCTTTGGACTTCTCTTGACTGGATTCCCTCATGAGCAGCTCCGTAATACACAACTTGCATTACAAGAGACTACCACATCCATAACATCCGACAAACCAAAACTAAAATTTTCTTCTCTCATACTTTAAATATTCGTGAATAGCTTTTCTAATACATGTGTTTGTTTTTGTGCAGGAGGTGACAGAAGCGGTGAAGAAAGGTTAGTTACAGTAAATAGATCCAGCTCTCTGACTTTTTAAACAATGGCCATACTAAAATAAATAGTGTATCTAATTATAATACACAAGCAACAATTGAGTGTTTGAGATTGGATTAGACAATTATGAAACTGAACAATTTTTTTATCAGATAATGACGATTTAGGGTGGCAATGTTGCAAGTAGAAGGAAGGTGGCAGTCAAGACACATCCCTACAGACTCAGGTAAAAGAAATCACTGTTTCTCATTTCACCAGGGACTGAATCCAATGAAGAAGCAAATCACTTCTTCTTATAATCCTATTTCCCCTCCTGCATGGTGTCTGAATTTCATGTGTTTCATATAAAAGTATGTATTTATTCCAAAATGGTCTGGTTTTTTTCCTCATGTGCATATCAAAGCTTGCACTTTTACTTAAGAACAAGGATTAGTTAATTTAAATATGTCTCTATACTTCTATTAATGACAGAACTTAAGACTTATCTGAATCAACACATTTCTACAGCAAATTAAACCGGAACCACTAATTACTTTTTCTAAAATATAACCCTAGAGAAAATTTAACAATGAAGAGACCAGAGTAATTAATGAGTACTTTATATCATGGTTCCCAAAGTGGGGGTTGCGGGATTAGATTAGATTAGATTTATTAAGGGAAAACCCCTTGAGATGCAGCAGGGATACTTGCTGGGGTATGTGAAATAATTTCTAGAGTATGTATTTTTAATATATTTTTTTATATATAAATACAAACACATTTTATATTAAATTTGATAAGCACTGCAATAAAATACCAATAACTGACAAACAGTTTTCCTTAATGCATTTATTTTGGTTTCTAGTAAATTTGGTTGATCTTAAAACAAGATTTACCATTGAGATAAGCAGAAATCCCTTTGTCCCTTTGACCAACTATTTAACACTGTCAAATTGTTGTGTCCTTGGGCAAGACACTTAACCCCACTTTGCCTGAAGCCCCCCTGAAAGATCTCAGCTCCTGTGGACTCACCACCTGCAGGAGGATCAGTGAGGGGCTGGTGCTATGTGACTGGGTGCAGCTCTGACTGCCACCCCCCTGACCCGGAAATGGATTAAGGGGAAGAAAATGGATGGATGGATGGAAATTGTTTTTGATACCCAATTCAAGCATTTGAAAAAACCATTACAATAAATTCTCATCGTATGTTTGCTCAACACCAAAAAGGAAAACCCAATCGCACCTGGGCTTCTGAGGGGCAATAGTGAGGCAGTTTAGTGGCAAAAGACAGATGTTCCCAAAGTAATGTGAAATCAACAGATTAACTACATTTGTACATCTAAAACATACTTCAGCATTTTACACCAAGACCAGCAAACACATTGTTTTACATTGCAACGTTTTTTTTTTTTTTTCAAAGTATCAAAGCTGCAGAGAGCTTGGAAACACAAGCACAAAACTCAACGCAGCTGTTACAATCAAATACATATTAGAAAAGGAATAAAGATATATATAATAGAGGCATCTATGTAATTTACACAGTATTACTATGTTTGAAGGTGTAAGGCTGCAGTCTTTCATGAGGATGATTTGAACTTAATTATTTTCTCACAAAGGAATCAAAATCAGTCACTGAGCGCTGGACCAAATATACATGCTTATAGTGGTAGGGGAAACTGGAGCACCTGGAGGTGGTGACAATTTTTCAAAGCCACGTGCCTGATATTGACCAGCAAAAAGGACTCCCAGACAAAACAATATGGCAAGTTTATGAATCTAAATAATTAACTATAAAAACTGAGACTAAATATTCAGTCACATCTTCCAAAATTGCATTTTCCCATAGGATTGTTTTGTAACTAACCCTCAAACTGAAAGAGACTTCCTGAACAGACTTTGCCAACAATACACTTCCTGCTATGTACAAGCATATTGTTTGGAGGCATGAATCCACTTAAAGAAATATTGAAACACTGTGAGGGTGCGTATTCAAAGTCCGGAATGGTGGAAAAGGCACTTATTCACAATGCAAGAAAATGAAATCGAATTAAACATGGTGCCAAGTGACCTTTTCAAAATGAAACGAACCACCTGAATATAGACATAGTCATTTTCCCCACAATGTTGAAATGTATTTAGAATGAGTCCATCGTCTCGGTATTTCAATTCTGTTCAACATTAAGTGTGCAGAGCGACGGAGGGCGACGAGGGAGTGGTGAGGGCGGTGACGGTGGGGGATTTCTCTTGGTTTTCAAACGGAGCGTTCCTCATTTTATAGTTTGGTTCCGTTTCTAATTCAGGAGACAAGGACTGTCCCGATGGAGAGAAGAGGTGCAGGTCAGCGGCCGCCGTGTGACACATGGGCGATCCGGGCGGCTGCGGGGAGATCTGTGGAGAAATACATGATTTTATTGCTTTCACTATTACGAATGACCAATCTTTCATGTGGGTTAGTGCTGTTGACTGGCATTGAAGCAAGGCAAGGTTATTTGTATAGCACAGTTCATACACAAAGCTTCACAAAACAAGATGCAGCCTCCTGAGTAAGTGATTTGCCATTTGTGAATGTTTGGAGATGTTTTGTTGTTTTGATTTTTGGCACAGCACTGAGTGGGTTGATATTTTGAAATGTAATAAATACAGTTATAATTAGATAGAAGAAAAGATAAAAAGATAATACAAGATTTGGCTTTACAGTTTTAGGTTATAATTGCAACCTATTTGGACCACGTAGATTTGGTGGAAATTCTGCTTATCCCTTCTAGTGAGAAACAAATTCTCTTTTTTTCTCAAAATCCTTGCAACAAAAAGAAGGTAAAAATAGAAATATAACTTCCAGTGCAATTATTGTCTACTTTCACTTTCACTTTCAATGAAACACATGCATTACATCTGCATAATTTATTTCATTTTTTAAGTATATCTTTCATTCAAGTGTCGTCTCCCAGAATGCTTCAAACTCAGTCTTAATGCAGACAGAAAGACGTCCACTTTGAGTTATGTTTTATGGAATTTCCTTAAATTATTGATCCGTTCATTTCGGCGATCATCAATGATTCAGGTTAGCTCACCTGACCGCACTGGGGGTGGTGGTAGACCTGGTTGCGAGGGGAAAGCAGGAGGCAGTCTTGAGTCTTTTCGGTCCGAGGGGCACTGGGGTCTCCATCGTCCACACCATTGGTCTGACAGCGAACACTCTTCACACACAACACCTGCACACAATGGGTTTTAAAGGATGAGAAAACTAAATATTTCATCTTTTGACTAAAAATAAAAATCCTCCGCAAACTAAAACCCCCTGAAATAGCTGTCTTTTCTCTTTCACACACCTAAACATATTATGTCTATTTGCATTTAGTAATTATGTGACATTTGAAGCGGATTTGTAGCTGGGAGGTGGTAATTATGACTCTTTCTATTCCTTCTCTCAGAGCAATCTGGCTTCTTCCGTTTATGCACTTGAATTGATGAGGCGAAATAATAACCTTTTAATGCTTTGAATGGAGTAATTTTCCTTTTGAAACTCACTGATGCTCCAAGGACTTTTAATGGGACTGAAAACATGGACTTTTGATTAATCTGTAGACGGCATAGAAATATAGTTCAAGTCCACAACTGTTTTTATACTTATTTATTACTACTTTTCAAGATAATCTTTGATTTATATTTTAAATTACATTTACATCTTTTACCTGAGGAACAAAGACATATTTGATGAGCTAAATAATGGACACTTTGGAAACATTGCTAATCTTAAAGCTGGAGCACCTAACTTCTTTTTTTTCATTAACAAATCAGACCACAACATGTTGCCATTGCACTGGTGAGAGGTCAAAGTCAGATCATGTCAGACATTTGAAGCTAAGAAGGTTAGGGCCTGGTTAGTGCTGTGATGGGAGACCTCTGGGAACACCAGGTGCCACAGTGGGGCGGGTGTGGCTGTAAAGTGCCAAATGGTTGTTATGTGCTTAGGTTCACATTGATGAATTTGGTGTATGTGTGTGTGTGAGTGTGTGAGAATGGTTGGTGGTGGCACATATAGGTTGCAATGCTTCTGTCAATGCGCCCCAGGGCAGCTGTGACTTCAGTAGCTGTTTTTCACCATTGTGTACAAAGTGAATGAATCATGCGATGTGATGCGCCTTTGAGAGTCCAAAAAAACAAAAAACTGCTATATAAAACAGTGAATTATTAAAGCAATTTTGTTCAGTGTGTGCATAAATGTATACATGAATGACAATAAAGTATCCATCTATTCTTATCTTATGACTCACATACTTGATCTTTTACATAACGAGATGCATGTGAACACTTGTGATAGATCCAAACTGTTTAAGAGCTGTTCTTTTAATCAGTCATTACAACTACGTGACTCTAAATCACTTGTTCTTCTTTGGTCATGAAATTAACAATGAAATGTGTCTGTGATGTTTTATGCAAATTCCACGAAGAACACCGCCGAACAGTGACAAGAGGAAGTCAGTATTTATACCCTGTATCTGTAAATTATGTTATTAGTATTCACCTGCAGCTAAACGCAGAGCAACGTTCTCACACACTAAAGAGAATCAGGGCGGATTACACCCACAGCAGCATTTAGTGACTCTAAGGCTCTGTCTCACAAGTGCGCAAGAGTTCAAAGGATATTGAAATTAGGGTTCCCAAACATTTCATGCAGAGAGCCCAAATTAAGCTTGAAATCAGCTCCTGGCCCCAATTGCGAAAACAAAATTGGAAACAGCAAAAATTCAAAGCAGCAGACGACATCAAATGTTGTCAATTTGAATAATCATTTATGTTATTTTAGCTGAATTCAGAAAAAATAAAATGTTTTGGATTAAGTAATTGATTAAATACTGTGAAATTGTTTTAGAAATGTTTCTTTCACCCGACTAAGTGTGACTGATCCGACCAAACTCTGCAATGGATGCAGTTATTTAGCAATGAATTCTACAAACTTTTATTATATTATCTTGTCAACCCATTTAGACCTTCTAAACAGGTAAATGAATACAAGGGAATGCAGCTCATGCTTCACACTTCTTTCAATTTTAAGTGAATGAACGATCTACATACTAAAGGATACATGGTGAATTATTCATAACTGGCAGAAAAAAAAACCTCTCTCTTCACAGTAAAAAAAGGAAATGTGAATCACTTTAAAATTACATACTTTTCTGAAACTCTGCTTGAAGTTGTCGGACAGGAAACCATAGAGCACCGGGTTGGCGCAGGAGTTAGCATAGGACAGGATGACTGCAAAGAAGTATATGCCGGCGGTGGCGCTGGACTCGGGGATGATGACCACGAGGTTGACCATGTTGATGATGAAGAAGGGCAGCCAGCAGAGCACGAACACCACCACGATCACCACCACCATCCGGGTCACCTTACGCTCTGACCTGCGCCGCTTCGTCACACCTGCCCGAGCACTCGAGGACTTCACCTGGAGGTAAAGGTGCGCCGGGATTTTAGAAAGTTCTGGAAATTGGAACATCAGTCAAAAGTTCATTTATTTCTGTAATTCAACGTATAATGTGGAACCAATACAAGGTAAAAACTCATTACTCATGCAAACTAAAATATGCCAAGCCTTTTTTGTTATAAAGTTGTTGCTTTAACTGCGAGCCATGATTATCAACATTATAAAACATTAAGCCTTGTTATACGTCATTGTAAGTTGAGATATATAAGCAAATGGACTTTTGAATATTAATCTCATCTTTCTGTAGTAGAAAATACCAGTCACTTGGATATTGAAAAACAAAATAAGGAACCAAAATGCTTACCTGAAAATAAAAGTGTAATTAAATTGAATTAAACCAAATCCAGGATAATCAACACAAACTGAAAACAGGAACAAGGGAAAAGACAATAGAACTGACAGCAAGAGGAGGCACATGTAGTGGAAATTTACACTTCATTCAAATGGATCCGAAAGAAACATCTTGTCTTTTGTGCGTCTTATTAAAATGCTGAATAATTTTTTTTATATATGCAGCTAAGTGAGACAGACACATCACAAGGCTCTTTCTGCTTTGTTCACACCGAGTTAAAGAGAGGAGAGAGAGTGAAGAAAGTTGACAGGGAGGACAGGAGCATGCAGGAAGACCAGAAGGTGGAAATAGACAGACACCTGTTATTATTGCAACACATAAGTCTGGTCGTGAGAAGACACTCAGAGCACAGAGAGCCATTGTGTGGAGAGGATTTTGATACAGTTGGCTCAAATAATAATTACAGCACACAAAGGGAGACGCAGGCACTCACAGAGACTGGAAATGAAACTCAAATCTGCACAAGACAACTAATAAATCAAAAAGGTATAGAATCATGAAAAAATACACACCGTGACAACTTTTAACCATGTGGGGGGCGGATATAGGTGGTTTTATTACATTATTATTATCAATGTTTACATTATCAAGGTATTTTGACAAATGATATATTAGTTTAATTTTAAATGTTCAGTTGTATTAATAATATATGGCTGCACCACATTTAGCACCATCGTATTTTCCACCTGTAGTATTTGACAAAACAAACATATAACTTTCATATTAACAAAGAGAGGACAAGTAAAAATTGCTGGTTACTAAAATACATATAAAATATAGATAAATAAAAAGTTATTTTAGTATTTTTTATTTCATTTGTATTTGACATGTTTGGATATTCTTCTCTGGTAGATTTTAATGAACAAAATTACTTCGTTAATCGTTTGGGGTGAATCAAAACTGGACCAAAAATCTATAAGCAGAGCCTTTTGATGTTTCACTGACATTGATGGGTCGGGGGTGGGGGTGACGGGTGGGGTTGGTACAGTCAGGGCAGGTGGGTGTCATTAATTGTTAACTTATTCCCCAAGTCTAGGCTATTCGCGCTTTTTTCAAAACTATGAATAAACATTCAGTTGGAAAGACACATAACACAATTCTCTATCTACAAAAATACATTCAATCTGAAGAGACCAAAGACACAATTAATACAATAAAATTATTTATTTGTTTGGCGCGTTGACCCCGGCAGTGACACTTGCAGCAATGAGATCGATTGCAGCTGAAGATGATCTCAGATCCCCCGGGGTCAATCACTGGTGGTGGCTAGAGTATGGTGTGAATGGGGCGTAGGCGGAGCAGGAGCCGAAGTGGGAGCCTAGAGTGGGAGCCTAGAGCGGGAGCCAGAGCGGGAGCCAGAGCGGGAGCCAGAGCGGGAGCCAGAGCGGGAGCCAGAGCGGGAGCCAGAAGCCAAAGGGGGTGCTGGGGAGGTGGTGGGTGTTTAAGAGCCTCAGGAAGCGTTGTTTGTCAGGAAGTGGCTGCCTTTTAAACTGCCCGCTTTGCTCTGAGAGGGTTGGCAGGAGGCTGGCCTGGCTGTGTGATTGGCTGAGGCTCGAGGCTGGCAGAGCTGTGTGATTGGCTGAGGCTCGAGGCTGGCAGAGCTGTGTGATTGGCTGAGGCTCGAGGCTGGCTGTGTGATTGGCTGAGGCTCGAGGCTGGCAGGCACTCGGTCTTTCAGTCTGAACATGCGCATTCAGCTTCATTTCTGTAGATGGAGCCAATTCTGTGTCATGATTGTTCACACCTCTACCCTTACAAGAATTGTTATCCCTGCGTCCGTTCAACAGATAAGGGCTGATGTTAGTATTATCTCCACCTCCTGCTGTTCCATCTCCCATCTGTGCTTCTGTATGATCTAACGGATATGTGTGATGCCTTTATGGCACAGCTTTTTCTTTGTAGTCTACACCTCTGAAAGTGGAAACCCTATAGTCGAAAAATCCAAATGGCTTAACAGGGTTTAATGCACCATATTGCACCAAGTGGCATGATATAATGCTATCTGTATGTTTTTCTTTCTTTCTTTTTTTCCTTTTTTAGAGTTTTTTGTTTTTTATTTCTTATAGTTCAATGCCCAGGTGGGCATTGGGAATACCACATATCAGGCATGATAAGATAAGATAAGATAAGATAACTTTCTATTATAGTGTCTTGCATCTACGGATGCCCAGCCCACATGGACTTTATAAAACACCATTAACACAAAAAACAGAGACACAACACAACAACACAAATGCTCTCATTTAAATAAATGAGTCTGCCGCTTCTTCCAGATTTTACTTAAAAATCAAGATAATTTAACACTTGATTTTCAAATAAAATATAATCTTGTCTTTGTCACTGACGTCATGATGTACATACATACATCTAAACATACATACCTACTTACACACAAAATAGACATAACACAATATATGTATATATAGAAATATAAGATTGTGGTCAGTAAATCCAACATAAATAAACAGACATGAATGAAACCACTGCCATATGCCACTGCTTTATTTACCAATAAATTGGTAAATAAATAGTTAGATACACATTTTTACATATATTATCCCATTGTTGGTGTTAAGGTCCTTTTGCCACACATTCCTCAATCTTTTGAAAGATGAATCCTGATACACTTGTATGGATTCATAGATTTTGGAGATGGCTCCTTTTTGGGGTTCCAGAGTCAACATCATAACCTCCAATTCTGACACTTCCTTAGCCAAGCGTTTTTGTTTAGCAAGAGTAGTAATGTAGTGTCGGATTTGTAAATATTTAAAGGAATCTTTTTGAGAAACTCCAAATTCTGTTTGGAGGGATGAGAAATCCCTCAGAGTATTGTTAAAAGATAATTTCTTAATATGAAGTATTACTAGATTTCAAGTAATGATTTTCTTTGTACATTTCAGTGTGTTACCTTTTTCTGTCCAGCACCTTGGAAACATGTTTTATAAAATGTGCTATATAATTAAAGTGGATTGGATGTCTCACCTTGATCACAATGAGCAGGTAGCAGAGGCAGATGATGAGCAGCGGACCAAAGAAGCCCAGTGTGGCTGTGTACAGGATAAAGGCCGTTGACCACACGTCTTTCGGCTCGGGCCAAATCATGTTGCACGAGTTAAACGTTTCCTGTTGGTGAGGAAAAACGCAGTTGGTAGAAAAAGAATGGTTTAGATTGTTAAGATATTTGAGAAATAGGTAGTGAAAAGCACATTATTTCTCTGTTAATGAAACGGTTAGAAAACCAGTAGCCTTCATCTGTCTCATCGCAACTTCATTTTTAAATTGTGTTTATTTCATGTTATCAGGGTAAGGTTTAACGTTGACTTTATTGTCACTGTGGAGAAATGTATCCTCTGCATGTGACCAGTCTATAGGGCAGCCTGTAAGGAGCTGTGGTCGGTACATGACTGTGGGAAAACAGGACTGCATGGACCTTCCCAGGCTTGGGAATAGAATCTTCTTGCTGTGAATGAGTTTACACCTTTCACAAATGGAAATACGTGACTCTATCTTGGATGAAAAACCTCTAAAATAACTCTCAGAACCATTTTATTACATATCTTTCTCAATTCTATGCACAGAAAGCCAGATGCTTCCATAGTGCATACTTTTTTTTTCCTGAAGTTAAATCTTGCTCTCTTTGTTGATAATGATAATAATATTAATAATAATGCATCGGTTTGATATAGTGCTAGACACTTCACATGTCATTATTCATTCACTCCATACACGATGGAGATGAACTTTACTGTAGCCATAGTGGCCCTGGGGCACACTGACAGAAGGATCTTTGGCATTAAGCAAACAGAAACTAGAATGTGCACCCCGCTAAAACCATGAATCATTTTGAAACTCATCACATACACACTTCAAACCATCACATTTTTGACTGCCTACAAAACACACACAGAGAGACAATTACAATAGCTCGTGTTTGCAGGGTAACAATTCGTTTTTAAAAAATGGCTGACCTAAAACCGACTTAAACAGATTGCAGACTTCAGTCTTTTTTGCACAGTGTATGAAACACATAGACTGTATATATTAATGTAACACCATAACTATACAAAGATGGATGGATGATGGAGAGTAATGACCTACATCTAAAGACACATTGGAATAATGGACACAGCATCTACCTAGCAGTAATGGCCCGTGTGTGCGTGTGCGTGTGCTTGTGTGTGTGTGTCCAAGTGTCACTAGTTTCCAAGTGCACGTGCGGACCACTCAACCATAAGCAAAGCGTCAAATAGTGACCCTTGACTTACAAATATGCAAAAGAAAAAACATGTGTAATTGCCAAAGCGTCCACTAGATGGCACTCTCGCAAACTGAATACAGCCGCGAGTAGCGAAGGAGAAGTTTTTGTTTTCAGTTCCAAATGCACAATGGCCACAGCCACGCAGCTCTGTGGCTCAAAGAGAAAATGTTTCTAACAACTTGCAGCCCTCGATAAGCGGAGCGAGGTAAATGTTTTATGTGTTTGTAGGTGTTAGGGAGATATCATTTAGTTTATGTATTTTGTACCTACATGCTACTTATTTGATATGTACTGTGTTTCTCTGTACAGTTTTCACGGTGAACATGAATATGGTGTTATGTCCATAAAAAATAATCACACCCGTCGAAACTTTGTCCTGCTTGTAACCTTGGGGGCCAGCAATAGTGAAAACTCGACCGAACCAGTGGACCTGAGCGACATCAATGAGAGACACGTCGCCAGTCAAGCTAAAGCCTGCTAATGCTACAACTCAGCTACAACTCACCGGCCGCCATTTTGAGTCCATAACCAGTCACAAGAGTAAAGCCACAAAGGCAGTGATAAAGTGAAGGTCAACATGTCAAATCCTGCTAATGAAAATAATGACTCAGAACAGACAAGATCCAGTAGACGTGAGCGTAGCTTTACAGAAAAAGGCAAAGAAATGCACGAACAGGAAATAAAGAAAAACGAAAAAGTGTTTAATAAAGTTTATGAAACTTGGAAAGAACAAGCAAAAGAAATACGAAAGCAGCTAAAAGGTTTCTGTTCTCCTGAGGAACTTAACGATGCCAGCCACAGTATAAGAGCTCAGCAAGATTTAGTAAAACAAAGCTATGAGCCCATTCGTCGCAATCACTCTATGACTCAAGATGTTGTTAAAAGAATGGACGCATGCACTGTAATCTCAACTGATATTTGTGAGCTCATTCAGAAACGACTCGAAACTGTTGAAGAATCTTTCAATGACCGGCTGGAGAAAGAAAGAGTCAGGATAATACTGAACAAACAACAATATGGCTCAATATTTGGAGAAACAAAAACGGAAACCGCCACTGATGTTTCAGAAGCTAAATCAAATGCTAAGTCAAACGCTACCAGTGCAGTGGCTGAAGCTGAACTTGCTACTAAAATTGAGCAAGCTAATGTAACAAGGGAAATACTTGCACAAGAAGCTAAACTAACAAAACTAGAGAGTGATTGGAAAATGAGAGAATTTCAAGCTAATTCTGCACTCAAAAGGCAAGAAATGGAAATGCAAGCAAAGGTAGAGGAGGAAAAAATGAAACTACAACAGCTGAGGGCAGACAGTGAGGTAAAGGTGGCAGCAGCTAAAGTAAAAGCTTACAACGCTATTGATGGGTCACAATACATTGATGTGTTAAGCCACAACTCAGATAGCCCAATAAAGGATAACACTGCAAATCAGCCCTCTCTTAACCTCCAGGCACCACCATTTCAGCCTTTCAGCACTCTCTCAGGCCAACAAGAGCTCAGTTTGGCTCAAACACTTGCAAGCTCCCTCACTCTGAACCGCCTGCCTGTACCTGAACCCACCATTTTTAGTGGTGATCCCCTAAAGTTTATGGACTGGAAAATATCCTTTATGGTACTAATAGGCAACAAACCATTACCTGTGTGTGAGAAAATGTTGTATCTGAAAACGTATCTTGCAGGTGAAGCAAAGAAGGCGGTAGAGGGGTATTTCTTTCGTAACTCTGATCAGGCATATCAGGGTATTTGGGATGTACTAGAAGAAAGGTATGGTAGCCCATTCATAGTTCAAAGAGCCTTCCGAGCAAAGTTAATGAAATGGCCCAAAATAAATGCGAATGAGCCTCTAGCACTTAGAGAGTTTGCAGATTTCCTACAGAGTTGTGCTGAAGCCATTCCCCAAGTCAAAGGTCTAGATATTCTTAATGATTGCGAGGAAAACCACAAGCTTCTAAAGAAACTACCCGACTGGATTGTGAAAAGATGGAGTCGCATTGTAGTAGACGAATTGGAAAAAAGTCAAGAATATCCCAGCTTTACTCATTTCACAAACTTTTTGCAAAAAGAAGCTAAAGTTGCATGCAATCCCATTGCCTCCCCATTCTTAATGAATGAAAAAGCTTCAGAAGAGAGAATAATAAAGCGAGCTAAAGCACTCAACACGACTGCCCAAGTCAAATACAATGCACCTCCAGTAACGACAAAGCCTAAACCACCATGTTTGTTTTGCAGTGACGAGTCCCACGGCATAGTTAAGTGTCCCAACTTTGCAGCAAAGGCAAGTGATGAAAAAGACAACATTCATTCGAGAAAATCATCTTTGCTTCGGATGTCTCAGAAAGGGCCATGTCACCAAAGAATGCAAAGTGCGCCACTCTTGTGGTAAGTGTGGTCGACGCCATCCAACATGTCTGCATACAGAAAGGTTAATGGAACCAAAACCAAAGGAAACTAAGAACTCAGAAGAAAGTACTAACAAGGAAGAACACAAGGCCATGTCTCATGTTTTGACAAGGAAAACGTCTGCCACATCCAGCATAGTACCAGTCTTTGTGTCAGCTGCCTCACAGCCTCATAAAGAAATACTTACTTATGCCTTACTTGATACCCAGAGCGACTCGTCCTTTATTCTAGGTGAGTTAGCCAATGAGCTTGAAGTGGAATCCAGACCAGTGCAGTTAAAGCTAAGTACTATGACCTCTGTTGACACTGTTGTAGCAAGTAAGCTTGCTTGTAACTTAAAGGTGCGTGGTTTTAACTCAGATACCCATGTACAAATTGATCAAGCTTACTCAAGGGATTTTATCCCAGTTGACAAGTCACATGTTCCCACCAGAGAAACTGCACTTCAGTGGCCACATTTAAAAGGTTTGGTTAACAAAATGAAACCATTACAAGATTGTGATGTGGGATTGTTAATTGGTTATGACTGCCCATCAGCCTTAGCTCCCCTAGAAGTTGTTACAGGTCAAGTAAATGAGCCTTTTGCTCAAAGAACAATATTAGGTTGGAGTATTATTGGGTCAGCAAATCCCCACTTGGACAGACACAACAACCAAAGCTTTGTGCATCGTGTAACAGTAAAAGAAATGCACACGCCATTAGCTACAGATGTGCTTAAAGTTTTGGAATCAGACTTTAATGAAAGAAACTATGAAGACAAATATGTATCTCAAGATGACATTCGTTTCATACAACTTTTGAGCAACACAATTGTGCAAAGGCCTGATGGACACTATGAAATGCCACTTCCTTTCAAAGATGACCATCCACCATCCCTCCCAAACAACAAGAAGCTAGCCACTGTGAGACTGCAGCATCTAAAGAAAAGGTTAAAGGCTGACAAACAGTACCATGAACATTACACAGCCTTCATGAATGACACCATAAAGAATGGTGATGCAGAACTAGCTCCCCTTGTGTCTGAGAGTGAAAATGTGTGGTACATCCCACACCACGGGGTGTACCACCCGAAAAAACCTAGAAAGTTGAGAGTGGTCTTTGATGCTTCTGCAAAGTATCTAGGCATCAGCTTAAATGACACACTCCTCACCGGCCCTGATATGACAAATTCTTTAGTGGGAGTTTTGTGTCGCTTTAGAAGGGAATCGGTGGCAATCATTTGTGATATACAGAAAATGTTTCACCAGTTTTTTGTTACTTCAGAGATGCGCAACTACTTGAGATTCCTCTGGTGGGAAAATGGAGAGCTGGACACAGAGCCCAAAGAATACAGAATGACTGTCCACCTATTTGGTGCTGGCTCCTCACCTGGATGCGCTAATTTCGGCCTGAAGTATCTTGCACGGCAACACAGATCTGACTACCCCAAAGCCTCAGCCTTTGTTGAAAATTGCTTTTATGTTGACGACGGGTTGATGAGCGTCCCATCAGTCAGAGAGGCCAGAGACCTCATAGCTGAGTCCCAAGAACTGTGCAAACTGGCAGGCTTGCGTCTGCACAAGTTCAATTCAAGCCATGCAGATGCTCTTTCACATCTCGAGTCCTCAGATAAAGCAGACACTGCCAAACCGCTCAATCTCAAACCTGACACACACTCAGACCACGTGCTTGGTATACAGTGGACTATCACAAATGACACTTTCAGCTTTAATACCAGCACAAAGGAGCAGCCTCCTACCCGTCGTAGTGTACTGTCAGTTATCTCATCCCTGTTTGATCCACTTGGGTTTGTAGCTCCTTTCTCTCTGAGTGGAAAAACCATCCTCCAAGAATTATGCCGCAGGGGTATTGAATGGGATGACCCCATTCCGGAGAACTTGTGCACACGGTGGGAGGAATGGAAAAGTGGTTTGCAAAGTTTAAAGATGGTCTCTGTCCCCCGATGTTACCACCCTCCTGATTTTGACAACATTGTAACAGTAGAATTACATCACTTTAGTGATGCGAGCAATGTAGGGTATGGGGCATGCTCGTATTTAAGATACAAAAACGACAAAGACCAAGTTCATTGCAGCCTAGTGATAGCTAAAGCAAGGGTCGCACCCACAAAAGTCACAAGTATACCGCGACTCGAGCTTTCAGCTGCAGTCACTTCAGCCAAACTAAGTGTAATGCTTAAATCAGAGCTCGAAATGCAGATCAATGAAGAGCACTTCTGGACTGATTCTCAAGTGGTACTCGCTTACATTAATAATGAGGCGCGTAGGTTCCATGTGTTTGTCTCAAACCGTGTTCAGTTTATACGACAAACAACAGATCCTAAACAGTGGCATTATGTCAGCACAGAACAAAATCCCGCTGATCATGCCTCCAGAGGGCTCAGTGCAGCAGACATCACTTCAACTAACTGGTTATCAGGCCCAAAGTTCCTGTGGGAGCCAGATATCCCATATCCATCAAACACGACACTCGAACTGTTAGTTGGTTAGAAATAAAAACAGTGTGCTTGCAACTCAAGTAAACAAATAAAGTGAACTGAGCCGTCTCACAAGATTCTCGAGCTGGCAATGCTTCTCAAAGTGATTCTAGGTTAAAGCGACTCAAATCAAACAAAAATCAGCAACCCAACTTTGTAACTGTAGAGGAAAGAAAGGAAGCTGCTGGCCTCATTGTCGGCCTTGTGCAGCAAAAGGCTTTTCCCCAAGAGATTGAAAGGCTGAAGGTGGGAGAAAACCTTCCCAGTACAAGTCCCCTCTTCAGATTAGACCCAATATCAGACAATGGACTTCTTCGTGTTGGAGGCAGATTAAAGAAATCCACACTGAGTCAAGGACTGAAACATCCCATCATTCTTCCAAAAGGCCATCACATAACAAAGTTGATAATGTCACACTTTCACTCTGAGATTTGTCACCAGGGCAGAAGCCAAACATTAATGGAGCTGAGAGCGAATGGATTTTGGGTGATTGGTGGAAGTAAGGAGGTCGCAAAGCACATAAACAAATGCGTGCAGTGTCGCAAGTTAAGACGCCCAACAGAAGAACAACGAATGTCCGAACTACCAAAGGAACGAGTTGAGATCTCAGAACCATTTATGTACAGCGGTATGGACTGCTTCGGCCCGTTTGTCACAAAGCAAGGCCGCAAAGAGCACAAAAGGTATGGACTGCTGTTCACTTGCCTCTCATCCCGCGCAGTTCACATAGAAATGGTTGAAGATCTATCCACAGACACATTCATTAACGCATTGAGATGTTTTATCAGTCTAAGAGGAGCTGTTTGCAGGTTGTACTGTGACCAAGGCACAAACTTTGTGGGGGCAAAAAATGAACTCAAAGAGACACTAAAGCAATGTGACATTAATGCCCTAGAAGCGTTTTTGGCTGAAAAACAATGTGAGTTTGTGTTTAATGCTCCATCTTCTAGTCACGCAGGAGGCGTTTGGGAGCGCCAGATCCGAACAATCCGAAATGTTCTCAATGCTTCCATCTCTCAGTGCCCAGGAAGATTGGATGATTCTTCTCTTAGGACACTTTTCTATGAGGCAATGTCAATAATAAATGGACGACCACTGAGTGTTGATGCAATAAATGACCCAAAGTCACCTGAACCACTCACTCCAAACCACCTCATACTAATGAAATCCAAAGTTGCTTTACCTCCACCAGGGAAGTTCATAAAGGAGGACTTGTATGCAAGAAAACGGTGGCGTAGAGTGCAATATCTCACTGAGCAGTTCTGGAGTAGGTGGAAAAAGGAATACCTTCTGAACATCACCACAAGACAAAAATGGCATGTACCACGTCGTAACCTTCAAGTCAATGACATTGTTATTATCAAAGAGGAAATGCTTCAAAGGAATCAGTGGCAACTCGGACGAGTTGTAGAAGCTCTCAAAGAAGATGATGGACTAGTGCGCAGAGTGAAGATCCAAACAGGCATTAGGGATCTGTCTAAGAAACAAGTCACACCACAGAAGCCTCACATTATTGAACGGCCTGTGCAAAAGTTAGTAGTTCTTGTTGAAAGTAATTAAGAGTAAGAAATGTATTGTTTGGTTCCAAGCTTACGCTAAATGTAATGCTAAAAGAGTTTTGTTTTTGTTTTTTCTGTCAAGCATTGGTAAATAATTTAAATCACATATATTATAAAGTTAATATACATGATTTGGTGGGAGTGTAATTGCCAAAGCGTCCACTAGATGGCACTCTCGCAAACTGAATACAGCCGCGAGTAGCGAAGGAGAAGTTTTTGTTTTCAGTTCCAAATGCACAATGGCCACAGCCACGCAGCTCTGTGGCTCAAAGAGAAAATGTTTCTAACAACTTGCAGCCCTCGATAAGCGGAGCGAGGTAAATGTTTTATGTGTTTGTAGGTGTTAGGGAGATATCATTTAGTTTATGTATTTTGTACCTACATGCTACTTATTTGATATGTACTGTGTTTCTCTGTACAGTTTTCACGGTGAACATGAATATGGTGTTATGTCCATAAAAAATAATCACACCCGTCGAAACTTTGTCCTGCTTGTAACCTTGGGGGCCAGCAATAACATGTTTTCTAATAAGATTAAGACAGCTTGTTGAGGTTTGATTTGTTCACAGGTTGTTTGAATTGCAACAAACTTAGAATATTTATGGGGGGGAAAAACCAAAAACTTTATTTTGAGGGTGGACCATTAAGTTTTTGCCTTTAAACAAAACCAAACAAGCATCTTACCTGAATATCAGAGAAGATGACCACAGGCAGCACCACGATGAAGGACATGGCCCACACAGCCGCGCTCACCACTTTGGCCACCCGCGGGTGACGCCACTTGGTGCTGCGTATGGGGTGCACCACGGCCAGGTAGCGGTCTATGGACATCACCGTGAGGCAGAAGATCGAAGTGAATTGGTTCATCGAGTCCGCGGTCATCACCACACGGCACATGAACGATCCGAAGGGCCAGTAAGACAGCACGTTCTGGGTCGTGAGAAAGGGCAGTCCCAGGATGTACAACTCGTCCGCCACCGCCAGATTCAGGATGTAAATATTAGTCACTGTTTTCATTTTGGCGTAGCGCAGGACAACGTATATGGCCAGAGTATTTCCCACCAGCCCGGCCACGAAAACAGTGAAGGAGATGAGAGCAGTCATGAGCGTGCTGCTGCCTTCAAATGGGACGCTCTGTGTTGTCATATTGACCGAAAAGTTCATGTGGCGAGAATATGAAGTGGTCAAAGAAGAGTTGTGCAAGTCCAGGGAAACAGGTGGACAGCTCTGGTCCTCTACAGCCAGTATACAGGACGTGTTCATCTTGAAATGTGCAATAAAATTTCATGGATGAAAATTACAAACAAAAATAGCACTCAAAACTTTCTCAATCTATGTTATTTTTTGTGTGTGTAAAACAGCTGCTTCAAATTTCATTTCAACACAACGACACACTTCTTTCAGCAAATAACATTCTCTACCTGAGTTCCGTGAGTTTGATGGTTACTGGAATGAAGTTTAATACTATAATGTCATCGCTATAAAACTACTCAAACGCAGAGCATTTAGACAAGTATTCAAAGTGCAACACAACAGCAAGAATAAAGCCCAACACCAATATTATTTCAGGAAAGCAACAGGTCAGTATAAAGCCCAAAATCAAGCTTCTATTTGAAAAAGCAACAGTTAAATCTTTTTGATATAAGTCCAAACAAAACTTGGCGAGTCTTCGTAAGGAAAGCCAGTTCATGATCCACGTTGAGGATCGCTGTCCGTGGTGCTGGCGGCGGAAGCGACAGACGCGCGTTTGTCCAACCTTCAACTTTCTCCCGCTATTCACCGCGTCTTCAGAGAGAGAGTCTATGAGAGAAAGAGAGAGAGAGAAAGAGAGAGAGAGAGAGAGATATGGAAGGGCGGGGGAGCTCGTGCGTGTCTCATTATGGTTTTATAACCTGGTAGGATTTTGTGTTTCTCAGGGGAGGCGGCTGTCGTTTTCGTTGGGACTCAGAAGAGCACAGGGACTGACCTCCCGCTTGGACTTTGAGTAGCTGAGGGATGAGCCTCCCACTGGGACTTTTAGTTTGGGAGTCCAAACTAAACGTGGGGAGATGGAGGAGTCAGCATCCAGGTTAAAAAAGTTCTGTTTAGCTGCACATACAACTGAAGACTGTAGCTTTGTAATGTATTGTGATTATTTATGCTCTCTCTGGCTGCAGGCTGCACTTAGAAATTCTGTCCACAAAAACAGTGAACAGAATCAGAGACAAAGGGCAGGCTTGAGGGAAGCCAACATGGACTGGGAACAGGTCTGACTTACTGTCATACATGGACCGGAAGGCCCTCAGCAGAGGACCCAACACTACGTACTCCTGGAGAACGCCTTCCCCAGGTCCACAAAGCATATGTGGACAGCTTGGGCGAACTCCCATGATCCCTTGAGTACTTATTGAAGAGTAGAGAGCTAGCTCAATTTCCACGGCCGTGATCTTTCCAGCACCTTGCAGCAGAGCCTTAGGAACACACCTTCTGGTCCCCAATCTATGAGAGGGACCATGAAAGGCTTTATCCCCTTGTATGGTAACATGCATGTCACTCTGTTATGAAGGTATAGTATATAAGAAATAATTTAATCGAGAATAGAAATGATTTTACTCTACCTTGAATCAGGTCACACTCACTTTAAAAATCCAAAAGTGACAATCCATTATTATATCGCTTCTATTACCATCATATTGTGTTTTATATAGCAAAGAGTTAATAACACAGAGGTGTGCCATTTTATATATAATGTTGTGTGTGCCTTGGCCCGTCCCATGTTTCTGAGACTGTACAAATAGAGTTCCTTGTGGTCCTGAGATGAGTCAGGGAACGGTCAGTTTGTTGGGTTGCTTTTCTTTATATAATTGTGCACATATTGATTAAAGATACACCCCTCTAAGTGTACCACCACTCTAGATTCATATTTTGTTGCTGTCTCTTTAACGTAATATATTAATATGTATTAGTAGCATGTATATTAATTTATCATTATTTGTGATTTGTGAAGCTGTTTGGATTATTTCAACAATTTGACCCATACAAGGCAGAGTGTAGAGCCACTGGAGGACATCCTAATGGATATTTTCCCCTTGAAAAAATTCCATGATAATGTATTTTCCCCTTTATTAAAAAAATGCATATTTTTGGTTTATTGCTTTTGTAATTTTTGCTCTATTTGAGCAGAATATTTTTGGCTTAAAAAGCACAATGCCTGAATGTCTGATACATCAAATTCTTCTATAGCCTCTTATATGTATTATTTATCACGCATCTGTGAGAAATGACTCCGCTGCATTATCACCAACATGTGAATGTTGGTGATAATAGGAAACTAAAGGCAACATTGTGACCTAATAACATTGAGAGTTTACAATACTGTCAGGCAGTGGTTTCATTTATGCCTGGATTCCCACAATCATCATGTCATGCTCTGCTCCTGCTGTCAGAGGGACAAAAGATAGAACGTATGGATTGTGTTGACAAATGGTACTAAGACAAATGACTTTAAGTACCAGCCATTAACATTCAGAGGCAAGGCATGTTTATTTGGCATAATTCAACCTACATGTGTATAAAGTATGTACATTTGGTTCCCTCAAGGAATAAACAATCATGTCTGAAAGGAAGCAGTAAGAAGTATTATAGTTCTTATGCCATCAATCATACATTGTTATTTGTGTTCTCTGTTGGTTTGCTTGTTTTATTTTATTGCTTACTCCTGTGCAGCACTAGAAACAATTCTGTTTTAAGAAATTAGCTATTTCAAATTTGTATCAATACAAGAACAGAAGTCATAACAACAAGAGTGCAAAATCCTTTTAGCTGCATAAATTCTGATTCCCCATGTTGACCCTGTGCTCATCAGCGTCCCAGCAGGGGTCCAGTCCCTGTGCTCCTCACAGTCTCCGCAGAAGCCCAGTCGCCAGTCTTCATGTGGCATTAACATGTCACAAAAGTGCTTTGATGCAAGACTGAGCAAAGGTTTTTTCCAAGTATGATTTAGACGCTCATAATTTGTTTTTACGTTTAAATAGCTGCTGATGTCTCTCACTCCACACAGAGATGGGAGCGAGGTCGCCGAACAGGAGGCGCATACCAGACCTAATGCACATGTTTTTTGTGGTAGGGGAAACCGGAGCACCTGGAGGAAACCTACGCAGACACATGGGAGAACATGCAAACTCCACTCAGAAAGGTCCTGTTCCGGCCGAGATTCGAACCTAGGACCAAGATGTGCAGGTTTTAGGGAGACAACACCACTACAAAGTAATTGAATAAAAGGTGTTTTGTATCCACTCACTGGTCTGTTGGATGCAGTGAAGAACTGAATCTGAAAATTGATTAAAACTGGCCTTGTGTGAAAAATGAAATGAAAAGAAAGATGAGAAGGAGCTTTCATCGTTCAACTGCCCGTTATGCATCATATACTGTGCATGTCTGTACGTTGCCTGTTTCCATCTGCTCTTTCACGACAACAGGGTAAAAACATACACTACACACACCCCCATGCCATTCCCTTTTACCCAACCTGTTTATTCTGGCGCTGAGCTGCTTCTTTTCTTATACTTGGCTTATATTCTGCAAGATTCTCTGGTGCATTCATCGTTGCCAACAGTGTGAAAGCAGGAGAACCAGCACCTCCCAATGCACTTTTCATACATGCACTGAAGACATGGGGACTCTCTCACCAAGACACCCACTGAGATGACCTTAGCAGCCTGTCAAAGGGCATCACTGTCTTCTGAGTGTTTGTATGGAGGAATGGGAGTGACTTGTACATTAAACAGTACAATGTCTATTAGCTCACAGCCTGATGGTGTGTGTGGGGCTGATGGTACAGAAAAACGTTGTTTAGATGGGCCATGTATATGCTAAAACAATATCAATAAAACCGCTAAGGCTTACATCAGGAGCAGTGGTCGCCGTAGTACAGCGCCTGGGAACCCATCTCCAGATGTTGATGGTTTGGCTTGGTCAGGACTACCAGAGCTGGAGGATTTAACCTAGCATGCATGTTTTTAGTGGTAGGGGAAACCGGAGTACCTGGAGGAAACCTACGCAAGCACGGGGAGAACATGCAAGACCTCTCAGCCACCGTGCCGCCCAATAGACAAATATGTAATAGACAACAATGACATGTTATCCATTATGTAATTAGAACTTAGTATTATTATTTATGTTTTTACGAGTCTTCAATTACATTTCTTCTTAAATATATAAAGGAGGATTACCCAAAATTCCCTAGGAAAAACCCTCCGCTTCTTGAACAAAATTCTCTGGTCTTATTTGACGAGCACAAATCACCACAATGATTGACAGTTGGGAGGACCGATAGTCTTGATGATCCTCCCAAAAGTAGAAAATCTTCCTATACCTTCAATATTTGGTACAGTTTTGGTTCAGTCCACAGTAACTGAACTAATTCTAATCAGAAAAGAATATCCGATCCAACTAATGTGAAACAAGTCGTTTATGTAGATACCTTCATATTCCAAAAATATCTAATAAATGAAACCCACTTATTTTTTCGGCCCCTGACCAGCCCTTTAATTTTTTTATTCGGCCCTCAACCAAAGTAGGTTTGACATGACAAGAATGATTTTTTTCTAAACCATTCTAGTCATTTATAAAAAGAGAAGCTGACTGGCGCTGAACAGACCTCTTTGTTTGAAACATTTCTTATTCAGGGTCTGTTTCAGATGTTATTCCGTCACTTTTCTGACAGTTAGAAGTGTGTGTCCTTATAGAGCTTATGTGGTCACATGGAAACATCACGCACCCAAATACATTATCAAACCTTTCTTGCTCTACCCACATGTTCCGCTTCACACCTTCAGGCTGATTATAGTCCTGGACACACAATTACAATAAAACATTGCATGACTGTGTTTTTTATTTGCCATGACTTAAATGATTAGATTAAAATCATTCATTGAATAAAACTGTTCCTTATTCTAATGCTAATCTACAGTGTCTAAATTATTATCTTTACAGATCATAGACTGTTTTAATTAATCTGAGCAAACTTTAATAATAAAAACATTATGAAATCAAGCATACAATCTATTTTCTGAACTTCCAGTTTATTGATAATGACATTATTTTTTGACCCAGTCGTTGTGTAAATACCGATGCCAAAATAGTTTAAATCCCAATTTATTAAATTCTAAATTTGATTAGATTTATCCCCACCTTAATTTGGGATTTTCTCATATCTTTCTGTGTCTCCGCTTTCTCTGCAGCCCTGCAATAACACAGACTGAGGCCTCTCTAAATGCTTTTTCCTGGCGGTGCACTGAACCCTCCCCATAACTAAACAGCGGCTCAGTTTACCTTCGCCCAGCCCGGAGTAGACCAGCAAACCCACCGCCACAATACATGACGGAACTACTCACAGGTCATGAAACCCAAGAACCAAGGAAAGACATGGTTGCGCGACCAATCCCACTTCCCTTCACTTATACAAAAACCTTGAAATTGGTACATCCTCACTACGTTCTATAGAGCCTTTTCACCTTGAATCCACTCTAAATCTAACATATTTCTTTACATTTGCATTCCAGAATACACAGCCCTAAAGCATCTATTGACTAGTTTGAATTTTCTATACTTGAACTGTGGTTCATAAATCCTGCTGGATGTTTCAAACCAAATTCATAGTCAATGAGCATGTAGCATTAAAGCCAGAGTACATACTGTACTAGTATGCAGATTATGTTGTGTTTTCTGATAAGATGGAGACCGCTTGTTGTGGTCTGATTGGTTCACAATATTTTGTTACCAGACTCTTATTGTTTGAACAATGAATGTATTATTTAAAAAAAAATAAAGTTATGTTTTCCATCTTAAAAGTGGATCTCAGTTACTTTTCAAATTGTGAAGATAGAGAGCAACTTGTACTGTAGAAGACTAGCACTAGTTAGACGAGACCGTGCTCACCACCGCAGATTCCTGAACGGGCAGAATAGATTCAAATCCTTTATGCCCCTCATCATTGTTTTAACTACTCTCCTCCAGCAGATCTTACTGGTCCAAGTCATGCCAAGGGGAGGCACTTTGAAAATAAAAAAAAGTTAGTTGCTGACATCAACTTGTATTGCAGCATCATTTTTATGTCCCCGTTCTAAACTTGCAAGAGAGGTGCATGATTTTAACACACTGACAGCTTTGTTTTTTGTTTCCTTCTATATGCATGTGGCCTCTGTAATGAGAATCTTTTCACTTGAAAAAATCTCTAAAATGTATATAGCTTCTATGCGGCACAGTGGCACAGAGGTATGTATAGGCACCTCTCCAGTATATGCTACTGGTTCAATAATACACCTAAACATTTTGTGTGACCTTCTCTACTTACCACAATCCCAAAAGTGTGATTATATGTGCATGAGACGAAAGCAATCTAAATTCAAATTAAGCAGCAGAGCTTTTGGCCATGTTAAGCATCAATGATAAACGTAAATTCCATGTTAAATATAAATTCCATCTCGGAACCACTTCAAAGCATACAGCCTTGCGGCATGACCTATCGAGGGGAAGATGTTCTTTAAGAGGCACATATGGACAGGATATGGGTTTGTGAACAGAATACTGAATACCTACAATATAACGTGTATCGTATAATTATGTTACTTGGTTCAAACAGAGTACTGTTTGTGAAAAACATACTTTTAAACACTATTAAAAGTGACCTGTTTTAATCCAATATAAATGCCCTTTGAAGCGGAAATAGCATTATTACACACAGAATGTAATAACCGATCATTCAACTTTGGGTTGTTTGATTAAAACAGATATTGTCAACACGTTTGTTTTCACATTTCCCTCTGCTCTAGTACCGTTATTATTATAGAACCATGTCTAGTACTGCATAATATAATGAGAGAAGAAGGGGCCGCCCTAGCGGTGACTTCCAGAAGTGCCCGTGAGTCCGGGAGGAGGAGAGAGGAAGTTGTCCAAAACTTTTCCCCTAAAAACAGTCTAGAAGAGGTTCCGTTATTTCCAGGAGAGTGGCTCTAACGACGGAGTATCGGGGAAAACCATCAAACACAACACTTTAAACACTTTCAAGGTGTTATTTTCACATGAGAACTTGGACTATCGGCCGTGGGCGCGTTTTTCCTCTTTGAGCGGACTTCCAGCCGAGGCGATGCGATGTGAGTGAGCTATGCCTTGTAGAAATGGACTGACTTTAACCAAGCGAAAACATGGCGTCTGCGCCCCGGGGCTGGGTCTGTTCGTGTTTGCGGCTCTGTGCTGCCTGGAGGTGTGGAGCTCCGAGCCGCGGAGCTGCTCTCCGTGTCCGCTCAACTGCAGCTGTGTGGCGGGGCCCCTGCTCTCCTGCCTCGTCAACTGCTCCAACATCCGACTGGAGAAGGCCCCAGCCGCCGCTGACCTGCCCCTGTCCACCAGCGTGCTGTGAGTCCACACATCACATACAGTATAGTGATGCACTATACTGGTCCTTACAGTGGTCTTGTGCAGTGGTATGTGCAGTGGTCTTACAGTGGTCCTTACAGTGGTCTTACAGTGGTCTTGTGCAGTGGTCAGTGCAGTGGTCTTACAGTGGTCTTTGCAGTGGTCTTTGCAGTGGTCTTTGCAGTGGTCTGTGCAGTGGTCTTTGCAGTGGTCTTTGCAGTGGTCTTTGCAGTGGTCTTTGCAGTGGTCTGTGCAGTGGTCTTTGCAGTGGTCTGTGCAGTGGTCTTTGCAGTGGTCTGTGCAGTGGTCTTTGCAGTGGTCTTTGCAGTGGTCTGTACAATGGTCTTTGCAGTGGTCTTTGCAGTGGTCTTTGCAGTGGTCTTTGCAGTGGTCTGTACAATGGTCTGTACAGTGGTCTATACAGTGGTCTTTGCAGTGGTCTTTGCAGTGGTCTTTGCAGTGGTCTGTGCAGTGGTCTGTGCAGTGGTCTTTGCAGTGGTCTGTGCAGTGGTCTGTGCAGTGGTCTTTGCAGTGGTCTTTGCAGTGGTCTGTGCAGTGGTCTTTGCAGTGGTCTGTACAATGGTCTTTGCAGTGGTCTTTGCAGTGGTCTTTGCAGTGGTCTGTGCAGTGGTCTTTGCAGTGGTCTGTGCAATGGTCTGTGCAGTGGTCTTTGCAGTGGTCTTTGCAGTGGTCTGTGCAGTGGTCTGTGCAGTGGTCTGTGCAGTGGTCTTTGCAGTGGTCTTTGCAGTGGTCTTTGCAGTGGTCTGTGCAGTGGTCTGTGCAGTGGTCTGTGCAGTGGTCTTTGCAGTGGTCTTTGCAGTGGTCTGTGCAGTGGTCTGTGCAATGGTCTTTGCAGTGGTCTTGTGCAGTGGTCTGTGCAATGGTCTTTGCAGTGGTCTTTGCAGTGGTCTGTGCAGTGGTCTCTGCAGTGGTCTTACAGAGTGCTCATCAGTCTCAATAATGGCGTCATTGCTGCTGCAGAGCTGGATTAACAGATGTTGGACTGTGACCTGTGAAATAACTCTCTTCATGTCAGTCAGTTTGTGTTTCATGCACATGAGGGCTTTCCAGATTAACATATTGTGTATTGTTATTGTTTTTATTGATAGTAATATATCAATCTGAAACCCATGGATAATTCGTCTGTTAATTTAGCTACAACCAAAGTTTTAGATGATATTATTATTACTGTATAACTGGACAAGGCTAACTATAATAATAGTTCTGTTCACACAAATTGTTTAAATTGCTATGATAAAAGTCGATTTTAATATTGAAACTGTTTCATATGTTTCTTTGAGTGTGAGAATACGGATGGCCTTCTTTCCATGCAGTTGCAGCTTGTGTTTATCGGACCTATACTTCCTTGTTTGGAGAAACTGTCAGACCTATGTTTTTACATGCTCTTGATTGAGCCTGAGCCTCTGCTGCAGTGAGAACATCGTGTTCTGTGCCTTCACTGCCATATGTTTCCAATCACTCAATAGCCCATTTTATTGGAATTAGTGCTTAACTGAAAGGAGCATTGTTATAATCACAAGATTAATAGTCAATTTAACAAAATGCTAAAGCTGTGGGGATGTTTGCGGCAGTTTCTTCCTGGGTGTCTGATCCGCAGCTGGGCTGATGACCCTTGAGGAGGGCTAATTGCATCAGTTTACAGCTCTATATACTGGGCCATTATAGCAGAAGCCATACAGGGAGGTGACAAACTGCCACCACTACAGCCTCTGCTATGAGCTCTTAAGGCTACAAACACTGGATCATATTTTTGCTTCAATAGGCTGCTGAAAATAGCACTTTTTCAAGGTTCAACTTTTATTATATGCAGCACTTTTGCTGAAAACTTGCAATAAATCATAAGATAAGTGTATAGATGTTCCTATAGAAAGTACACATTGGTTTAAAAATGTGTGAATTACTATTACTCTGTAACCCTAGGTTGATATTCTATCACCGAGTAATTAACAGCCCAGGATCAATGTCAAAGTTGGTCCTGGACTTATAACCCTAAGAATTTCTACAATAACATTAAACTTGTGAAAACTACTTTGACATTGATCCTGGACTTGTAATTACTTGGTGATATCAAATTGTACTAAATATTACAGTATTTTACTCTTAACTCCTAAATAATTGTTTTTATTTATCAAGTTATGTGAGTATAGTTTGGGTCAAATGCATGACCCAAGCTTTTTCCACACCCCTCTTTTTACTTCTTCTTTACCTCTTTTTGTCTAATTGATCGTCAAGGCTCTATAAAGAACACACTAAAATAACTATTAACACATTTATGCTGTCTGTCTGCGATGAGTTGGATAGACACAATTCATTTGTTGATTTTCTAAAAATGTTAATTGTGTGACAATTTTTTTAACTACTCAAAAACAGATACTTTTGTACATGAAGTGGACAGAACTAACTCCAACTTCTAAAATATAATATGTCATGTTACAGTAGCATTAAATGAGAATATTAATCTACAAAGAGGATAGAGTTGAAAAATAACCAAAACAGGTCATCAAGTAGATAAAAAAAACTTTTCTAAAACTAGTAAAAACTACTGATGTTAAAGCAAGTCATCTCTAGTTATTACCTTTTTCCCAGATTTGAAATTACAGAGTGATTGAGTGGATTTAGCATTCCTACTTCTTAGCAAGAATGTCCTGGGTTCTAATCCCAGTCTGAACAGGGCCTTTCTGATTGGAGTTGGTATATTCTTCCTGTGTCTGCTTAGGGTGCTCCGGTTTCTTCTGTGTGCGCTGGTTTCCCCTACCACTAATGGGTGAATCCTCCTGCTCTGGTAGTCCTGACTAAGCCGAGCATCAACATCTGGGCATGGGTTCCCAGGCGTTGTTACTACGGCTGTACTTCTGCTGTACTTCTGCTGTACTACTGATGTACTACTGCTTCTGACAGAAACTCAATTGGCATACCAATATGGGTCAAATGCAGAGGAAAAAGTTCCCTATATTGGGATCAATTAAGTGCATATTTACATTTACATTGGCTTAAAGTGATTGTCTGCAGTTTTTCAGAAAAAAGAGAGAGGTACTTGATTTGAAAAAAAACAACGCAAGCTCCTCCCCCTTCCTTTCTGATTGGTCTACTCCTACATTTCCGTAACACATTTAAATGTTAATGGGAGAACATATTATACTTATACATTATTAATACACATGCACGGAGGTTTTCAGGATTATTTGTTAACGTTTTCATGAAAAAAAGAATGTTTTAGTGCAAAAAAAACCTGATCGCGGAAAACCCGGAAGTAGCTATTATTATTGATTGCACATTATAGGACACATCTGCAGAGGATCTGATTATGGATATAGGTTCAGTATATAAACTGGTAACCTAGTGCGGATGTTCAGAATTCTTTTTTCAGTTTTCATGTAGTTCCAGAGCCTTAGAGGCTTAATCCGGAGGCTCAGCGAAAATAAACAACTGAGCATGAGCAGCTACGAGCATCAGCGCTATGATTGACAGCCCTTGGCATGCCTCGATTGGTTAACGTGGACGGCATCGTGGATTCTGAACTATAGCTAAGAGAAGGGAAGGCGGGACTTACCCGTAATATTAGAATGAATAAAATGACATATTTTATATCAACATTTAAGGCCAGGAGGTCAATTAGATACAATTCTTAAAATTTTCAATTAATTTTGAGTTACAGACTATCACTTTAAAGCATTCTATACTGACTGCAGAATTAAATTAACATGTGTTTACAAAGTGTTTTATTTTATTTTAGTATGAGTAAATAATTGGTGAAAGTATAATGCAGGGGTCTCCAACCTTTTTTGATAGGAGAGCTACTTTTATGGAAAAAAAATGGTGGAGAGCTACTTCTTTAGCAGTCATAATATAATTGTAGTCTATATAATAAATACATCCAATCATGGAGAACACACATGCATAATCTACAATTATACCGTAGAGCATCCCTGCATTAATGAAAAGGTAATGGGTTGGGGTTAGGGTTAATGTGATGACTCAAAAGTGAATGTTTCAGGATCATGTGTGAAATTCTACTTTGGGGAGCTACTTGAAAGGGGACGTGGCGAGACCCCTCGTATAGTGAACAGAAAATGTGATGTAAAGTGTCTAAAATGGCGCTATATGTATCATACAACATTATTTATTCGTATCATGTTGTTGATTAAACATTAATTCATTTGTATTCTATCTATCTAACTAATTTTAGCGTCCTGTTTTGACCGTGTCTGTAGTTTTCACTCAAAACCTGATAATTTGTTGTGTTTCTATGGTGACAGTGCTGCATTTATGACATCATCTGCAGAGACACAAGGCCAATGAGAAAGAGAGACCGATCATCTTTGTGCAAATGTTTGACTTTTCAGCGTTCATCATTCACTTTTTCAAAATGAAGACCTCTTTGTTCAAGACTCTCAGATTACTGCAATGTTTGTTGTTGTTGTAGACTCAAAGCAATCATATGCTTTTGTGAGCTGTAATCTATGGCATATGTGTGGATATGTTGTACATAAAAACCAAAACACAAGTCCAATTACCAGTAATTCCATCGTAATTGCTTTTAATATATCAAAGATGCAGTCTTCTTTCCAGACAATTTTTTTTTTATATTGTGGGAAAACGTCCCTTAACCCCAAAAGTTGTCAAGTTATCATGTGTTTTCAAATAGTATTAAAATTAACCAGATGCCTTTAGTCTCCAAAAATTTACAAAAAATATTTTGGAGCGGACCGATAAAAATAAACCAATGGGATTTGTTCATCCCCAACGAACCAATGGGATGCGTTTACCCCCTTCACCCTCTTCCTGTTTCTCGTGAGTGCGCGCACCTGAGTTATTGGATTTTCTAAAACCTAAAAGGGCTAAACAGAAAATGCCAATTTCCTGTTTGCCACCCACTCTCCCCGGTGTGACAAAGAAAAGAAAATTCTGGATGTTTGATTTGGTCGAGAGGCAAGGGAAGGGGGGAGTGGTTTAGAGTTGGTGCTATGGCTAAGCTAACA